GCAGTGTTTCATCGTTTTCTTGACATCTGGATGGTTGGTCTGACAAGTGATCGAAGGAAAGTCGCGATTGAAAATATGTTTGATACCGGTTAAATACGCGCGAACTGATCAAGGAGAAATCATGCGACTGAGACAAGTAATAAATTCACATAAGTTATTTTTGTTTGGGTTAAGGTCTTTTTTGAAATGAATACAAAATTTAGTGAAGCATTTAAACCCGGACTTGTACTTCGACAGAGAAGAATCTTGGACAGAGTTACGACAATCTTCTATTGACATATGTTGTAACTCTTCTACACTAATGTTCGGGAAAGGCTTTCTTGGTTTGGGTTTAACCACACTTTTGGATTTACCCATGATGAAGACAAATCAGCGACAAAGTCTGGGTCTTCTTCCGATAGTTCGAAAGAATCTAAATTGACTTCTTTTCCGCCAGATGAGAGAGACGGGTCGATGTTTAAATAGGCAATTGAATCTGCGTTAATGGCATGACAAAGAATATTGTGGTCCTTAACCGTTAGAACAGATTTTATGCGAGATAAGTTATCAGCCTCTGAGTTGTCTTCTGCTGAGACATGTCTGACTTTAACGTCGACCTTAGACAAAACTAATTGATGAACGCAGAAACGGAATAAAGGACGAACAATCCTGTTCGGTGCATGAGTCCTAAAAAGATTGACCACGTTCCTGTTGTCACAATGAATGAAGATCTTCTTTGCTCCGTTGGCAATACCAATCATTATTGCCAATACAACACCCAGTAACTCGGCCCAAAAGATATTTCGAGGTGGGGGCGGCAGGATGAAATACTTCCCATTACGCGAACTTGGCTCCCAGACACCGATGCCCGTCATGCAGGCGTCGGTGAAGAAAATCACATCTGCTTCCGGAAGGGCCCAACGTAAGGTGTTCAACATTTGGACACCCTCACTATCCTTGAAGAATTGGATCAGCCATTGCAAATTGTTCTGATTTTCTTTGTTAAGATGGATTTGAAGATAGCGATGTTTCTTCTTGCCAGACTTTTCATATAAACTTTGGAGTGCAAACCTTCCCCACGGCATTGAAGTACATGCCCACAAAGCATGACCTAAAACCCTTTGCCAGTCGTTGAGTGAGTGGCCTGGCTTAGATACAAAGTTTTGAAGAGTTTCAATTAAATGTTTCTTCTTATCCGGATGTAAATACATTAGCATTCTCTCGGAGTCAACAATGTGACCAATGATTTCGATTACCGGACCATTGATTTGCTTCTTCCAAACCCAAGGAATCCCGAGTATGTCCCAAAGGTTTAACAACTTTGCTTGAGGTAAAGGAATGCAATGACCTTTAAATTCGACCGAGTGTTTTTTAGAACAGACTGACCAAACATCGTCCATCATGTTGTTCATGTACTTTATTCCAAACTCAAACTCTGCAATCCATAGAACTAAAGAAAAAACACCGCAGAAGATATGGGGAGAAGCGGAAGAACCAAAGGTTAGATCATGGTCCACTCTTTTCCTATCACCCCTAATTTTGATGATTTGACGAATTTGATATTGTAAATGGAGCGGAATCATCCTAAAAGCGTTCTCCACGTCTGATTTGTACAAAACTACTTCGCCGAATTCTTCTTTCATTTCAATTAAAAAGGGGATGAAAGTCTTGAGAGAATCATAAGCAACCGGAATGTCACATTTTTTGATCAGAGAATTAGGAGAAGGATTGCCAGCACTCATGTTCAAACAGACTCTCATCTTTTGAGAATCTTTCTTTGTTACCATTAGAAGGGGGATGACCTCATACCGGGCAATAGAGTAGTGAATTCTTCCGAGTAGCGACCTTTATCAACTTCTTCTTGACACTGAGCTTCTAATAATTCTTGATTATCTTTGCAAGATTTGTGATTTGGTCCGTCTATGATGAAATCATTCGGAAGGGATGAGCATGGCCAAAAACCTTCTTTTAGACCTTTGATGACTGATTTCACAAAGGGACGATTCGGATGATTGACCAGAAGAGTTTCGAATTTGTCAATATTTATCGGAGTTTTGACTTTAAAAAGGTGAGGATATTGTCTCAACGCGAAATCTGCGCAAGGGTCGTCAGAGAGAGGTGGAGCGTTGGGAAAGGGCCATGCATAAAGGCTGGATTCGATAGCCGGAGATGACCCAAGAGAGTTTACGCCGTCCCATACATAGCCGCGAAGGAATTTCTGATCGTTCACATCTGTTTCCAAATTAGTTTCCGATAAGGGACTGTCGCCAACTCAGATGTCAGTATTGAGACAACATGGTTAACTCGAGAGAACTTCCAAATATACCAACCCCACGGAAACATTTTGATCACAAGGTTCTTGAAGATCTGTCTCTTCAGACGTGATCGCATCCCTTGTGGTCTTTCGCGCATCCTTTAACGTTCTAAAGAAGCGCTAAGATGTCAGTTTTTCAATCCCAGTAGGAGACTTAAAGTAAGAGGAAATTTATCAAAGGAAAAAAGAGAAAAAATCCAAACCAACACAACGGTGCATGCGAGGACAATCTTTCCCCAACCTGCAATGCCCGAGGTTGTGTGCAAAACAAAACCTTTCCTTATCCGGCAAGTTATCTCCATCCGCCACTGGGTAAATACCTTTATGTTTATAAGTCGATTTATATCGTAGCGGAGAATCTTCAGTTTTCGGCCTAAATTGATAAGGCTGATGTTGTTGTTGTTGGTTTTGATGTGGACAAAAAGATTGGAAATTTTGTTGACCGCTTGAAGAAGCCACCGGTGGTTTTTCTTCGAAAGCTTTTTGCATATGACGAGTTCTGATTGTTGCCAAGCTCTGGTGATTCCAATCAGCAAAAGATATGTCGCGACGGATAGCAAATTGGCCTCTGAGAGCCGCGTCGAAACTAGCGACACATGTCCAATCAGCCTTAACACCGTTAGACATAAACTCTTCTTTAATCCATTTTGAGTATTGAGCGAAATACTTGAAACTGAGCGGAAAAGCTTCGTGATAAGCTTGTTCCAGGATGTCAAAATAGTAGAACCAATCCTGGATATTGTCGAGCTTGCTAGCGATTTTCTTGTTTTGAATTTCGATATCTTTATCCTTCCCCGTGACCATAAGGTTGACCGCCATACCTTTCTTTTCCGCCATAAATTCACCTTTAATCCTATGGAGGTCAATATATTTTCCTTGAAGCAGTTCCTTAGACAACTTAGAAGGAAAGTTGGGAGGTTTAACCCTATCATTAAAACCTTCCACCGCTTTAGAGAGATTGGGGGCGTAACCTCTGACTGCTTTGGATAATGCAATAGCACTTTCAGAACAGTTCTCCAAAGACAAAGGACCTTTGTCCACACGTTCAATCCATTCCCAAGTTTTCTCCATTTTCTTTTTCTTGGCACCGGACTCGTCGTCTTCATCATCATTGTCATGGTTGCTCTTGTGTCCTTTATCTTTGACGCGTTGTCTGGAAACGAAGGGGGAAACTGATCTCGAACAATTCCGACGGACACCATTCTCCTCATCGAGCAAATGTCTAGCTCTCTGGGCGTTATTAATTTCCTCTTGAGTGAGGATGTGAACTGCGTTAGATTTAAAAGGGGGGGTTTTTGACTTTGAATGTTGACTTTCAGGCACGACATCGGGAAGAACCGGATTGTCGCTGAGATCAAATACGTAGACTGGAACATCCTCTGATGATATAGGTACGGAAGGAACAGGGCCGTCGTTTTTGAATATCGGACGGTTTTTAGCTCTGTCCAACTCGATAAGGTCGGTAGCAAATTTTGACCAAGGTTTATACCAGTTCTTGGCAGCAAAAGGGACAATCTCTGCATATTTAGATCAAACCCATTGCATGGATTTTTGGTTGGAACCTTCTGCCGATTCATATTCGGTTTTGAGAAGTTCCAACTTCTCGGCAGCCAGTCTAGCTGTTTCAAAGTTGCCAGAAACATCGCTCATGAGGATTATAGAGAGCTTTTTAGAATACTTTACTAAAAAGTTTATACTATAGAAGATTTGTTTGCGAAATATCAACAAACTAATGTGAGTTGATTCTTGATGATGATGAAAAACCAATTGAAAGGATTGAATTCGGTGAAGTGGTCAACAGCTAGAATGACATCATAGCTGTGGATGGGAATAGATAAGCAATATCCGACCCGTCAGTATTTTTATACATGTACAAGACCGAATTTAATCCCCATTCCAATCGGTTAATAACAAGTTACCAACTCCTATGGTTGCTACTGCCAAAGGCTTATGAATTTCAGCCCAAACCTTCAAATTGGATGTTCTTTCTCAAAACTCAACATTCCAAGCTTGTAAGACCATGTTTAGGATGCACAGCCTGGCCGCTTTCCGTCTGTAGCTTTTCTAAATGATCAGATTACAACTCTTGTTTCTTTTTTCTCCTTTGTTTTTTTATTATCAAGTTGAACTTTCCACTCAAAAACAACACCTGGACAATCAATGGATAACTACAGATCAATGTTTGAGAAAAGCTATACATACACAGACATAAGACTGAGGATCTCAAATCTGCTCTCAAATGTTCAAAATGTTAAGTTTTGAGTGAGAACATTGGATTTGGGCATGTGTGCTATCCGTCTGAAGTTCACAAGCCTTTGACAGTAGCAACCATAGTCCTTTTTTACGAATTGGGAAAAGTTTTTACAGCACGGTACCGTAAAAAACTTTCCCCGATTTTTTAAGAAAAGGCGGCAAATATTTTGACTTGAGCCCCCTTAATGATGATGATTGTGAATTATCCAATGACAGCCAGACGTTGAGATTTCAGAATGCTAGATATTCAATCACAAGTCTTTTGACCAATGATAATCATCACACACTGCTCAACCCAACTCTCAAAGTCAAATAAGAATCTTACCTAAAATCAAAATACCATACACCAAATCAAGATCCAAGTCAAATAACCAAACAGATTTTTAATCCGAATTCTGATTCGAATATGCTCACAATATCATTAGATCCGAAAAGAAAATAACCACTATCAAATATGTTGGTTTATTCGAATTTATCAAATCATCCGAAACGTTTGGGCACAGGACAAGTTCTAATTGAAGTGGATTCAGTCGCATTAGATGCTTGGGATTTAACTTTGACTCAATCTAGACTTTCATCTTATAATTTTTCTTCAAATCATCAAGATCAAAATCAAGATCGGGTGATGAAAAAAAGCGATTCATGATTTCAATTCATCGTCAAAAGAATACATATCAAGCTTTAGAATCAAATCCTTCGTTGAAATCTAAACTTTCAATTTCAAATCTCATTTCTTCAAAATTTAATCAATTCGTTCCTAGTACATAGAAGCTTTGTGGGAAAAGTTTTAGGAGCTGGATTAGGTGTTAAAAGATTAAAGAAAGGTGATTTGGTTTATGGACTTCATGATTTAAAAAGGGTATGTATATGTTTTGACCCAAAAAATCGCCTCATCTTTCCAAAATACTCGACAAAAAAACGCTGACTCTTTTGTTCTTGTTTATAGTCAGGTGCATTGGTCCAACAGATGGTCATTGATAAGGATTTGGTGGCAATTGCCCCCGTTCATCCGAATCTATCCATGGTACAAATCGCTTGTTTACCCGCGCTTGGGGTTCCCTCATATCTTGTTATGAGTACGATATGTGTTGGTTTACCAAAAGGATCAAAGGTGAATAGAATCTTATTTATCAAATCGTATGTACCTGCATTAATTTCCTCAAACTAAAGTAAATTGAAACTGATGCAACATGATCTTTCAGATATTGATTTTGATTGGACATAAAGGACTTGAAGCAATTTTGTCCGAATCAAGATCTTTGGGTAACATGTCATCCCACCATCGCCACTAGTGTAGAAGAGATTGGGATCCCGATAGCTAGATGTGAACTAAGAGGAGCAAGAGAAGTGATGGTAGAAGACAGTATCTTAAGTTCGGTAAGCTCGATCCATGAATCATCATACGATGTAGTGATCGATACGATAGGTGGTCGAAGGATATATGATGCATCACGTAGGATCTTACATCATGAAGGGATGTTCATTACTTGTGTTGGTGATAGTTTAGGAATGAAAAACCTAAAAGATAAAGTACGAAGAAATTTCAGATGATTGAGAAGAACATTTATTGAAAAGATCAAAAGAAAATTGGGTATTGGTGTTTAGGTCCTGAAACGGAATATGATGGAGAAAGACAAACAATCCGAGAGGGGTTAGATGAGATTCGTAAGATCATTGAAGATGATGAAGATTGTTTTAGTAGGTTTGAAGAAGATATACAACCACATGAGATTGCTGGTGGGGTACTAGGCTGGTATAGGAATCGATTTAAAAGTCAAGATGGATTGTCAAATTTGATTTGTAATCTTTCACCTGTGATTGGTACGATTATTGATTTTGAAGAAGGGTTTAAAGCGTCTGATAGATTTGCAAAGTTTGAGAATTCAGCCCCATCTTTGATCATTGAAGGTAAGGTTTCTCTCTCTTTTGAAAAATAACAACATCAATATCTTTTCTTGACCAATGTTGTTTCGAGATTAATGATTGTTTTCCATTCTTGTTTTTCGGTAGAACCGATTGATGATCGAGAAGATCAAATTGATCTTTTCACAGGTTCAGTTGTGGTGGTTAAAATCAAATCCAGGATAAACCAGAAACTAAAAATGAAGAACTCTTCAGTTTTGATCAGACCTACTACGTAATCATTGTTAAACAATTTTTTTTTGCAAACAAACACAAAACTTGATACATATTTATAGATGTCAACTTTTTTCCTTTCCTTTTTTTTCAATTATTGGTCGGTTTTAATGTTTCAATTTGGGGTTGAATGTTGCTTTAAATTTACACTTGTTTTTCTTTTGTAAAATTGATAGATTTGTTCCCTTGCAAGGCTTTTGTTCCATACCAGAGTCCAATCAAAATTTGGTCCTCTGCATAGGTATTGCGGAGCCTCGCATTTTTGTGGTGAAAAATGACATTGAGTAGGACAAGGAGGGAAGTTGATGATCATTTCTGGCTTCGCTGACAGACGAGGAAAAGAATGCTGAAAAAGTAGGTCACAATACTCGTTAAGCTGAATGAATGCTCATCCTCAGTTTTGCATCAAGAGCTTGCCAATATTTTTGCAAACAAGTAGGGGACAAGTCACAAGGAAGGGTTCGGGGTGTACCAAAACACAATTGTGCTCAATTTGAAAAAAGTTTCGGGGATACGTTGAAGTGTTATTGGAGAGCATTTGATTGAGATAGGTTTGGTATCTCTAGCTGAGCATTTATGAAAAACAAGCATTCATCTCCAGCCCACCTTGAATTTGCAATCCACGGGATTGATTGATGATATGCAGTCGAATCACAGAGATCATGAGTTGCGATCACATGGTACTTAACGGTCAACCCAGGTCAACCCTACATTTGTTTCAGGCAAAAAAACGATTCCAAGATTTGAATTCAGTTGGCCGTTGATTCAGATGAAATCCAAACAATAAATCCAAAAAATCCTCGGCATGACTTAAGCTGACAATATACCCACAAGAAGTGGACGTTCGCTAGGATGGACCTGCGTTGACCATCATCACTAGTCACAATCTAACGATACTCAGCAGCGAAGGGCAATCTCCTGATCAATGTGATTCCTTCGACCTGGGGGTTCTTTGGTGAATGAAAGCGGAAGCGATACTGGTTGGATGAAATCCTCTATAAAATAAAAGATGAAGCTCGATGCTAGAGGCATTCGCCTTGTTCCAAACGATGCAGGATACGACGTGACCTCATATTCTGATCATGATTAATCCGATCGCAAAGCAGCTCTCTGGACGGAAGATTCTTTACCATGATCTCAGCAAGACTCCCTGAGCTGGCTCGCAGCAAAGGAGATCGGGCCACATGGCTCGGTACTTCATATTGCTTCACGAAATCTGGACCAATCAATGATTCATTTTAGGGCTAGTTCCAAGTCATAGTGGAAGTCAAAAATGTGAATTAAAAGCTGACCACCCATTAGCATTTCTAGTTCGTCTAGCTAGGCTGTAACAAGCGCAATCCATGGATTTGCACATGCTGGTATGTAACTCCCCGGCATTTGTTTAGCACAGGAATGACATTGCACGGCAGCAAACAACCCTAACAGCACCGACTACATGTCGCACGCAAAGATACAAAAATGTGAAACAAAAACTGAAATTTCCATGGAAACGACAAAACTGGGTACTGAACAGGTACCTAAACCAATGGGACTGGTGGTGAACATTCAGAGGGTCTTGATGATTGACCTTCTTGCAGCTTTCAAGGAAGAATAACCTACCTACGTCCTACAGTTGCATCTCGTTCAAGTAGCGCTTTACCTATTGGAGGAGCGCTCTTTCAAATCAAGTGAAGATCGAGATATGTACTGCGCAACAGTAAGAAAGAGAACTGATTGATTGTTATGTACAACTGTATTGCACTCTTCAATTCAGTTTTGTTTGTGGCAAAATGGAAATCTTCTCAGCGTGTTGTGCAGTCTTCAAATTCTACTATTCCTCTTTGCCGTCTCTGAGGTCACCTATCTCCTTGAGTGCATCAATGTTGAAATCCTTTAAGAGTACAGATTGGCGGCCGTCTTTGGATTTACGAGTTTGTATCCTAATCTCCAACAATATGCTTTTGATCTGAGTTTGTGTGTTTTTAATGATTATGACACCCTGGGTAATCAAGCTCAGCACATATCTACCTAGAGATCACATCACGAGTGTCAGCTTCGTCATTTAGCCCATTGCTTGATGACTCTATGTATCAGCAACGCGCCTTCCAATCAAGTGAAATCGTTGGCGCAAATGTTTAGCTGAGCCAAGCAATATAGAGATCTGAAAGCTTTGATTGAAACAGTTGAGGAAATCCAGTCGGGATATCATGATCATGTCATACATTGTACGGGCAGAAACTCTTTCCACAAAAAGGCACTGTCAGCATCCTCACCGGCGCGGTGAATAGATCTGCGCTGACCCATCGGTTTATGTATCTTACAAGTCGACGTGTAAATTTAAAAACCCGTCCATACGTGTATTCAACTTGAACAAGCATAATCGCCAATGTTTACGCTTTGCCTTTGTGTGCGTTTTGAAAGTTCTCATCTCACATTTGTGGTCAGGTTTGTGTCAAAGCAAGTCGGCATTAGCATCAGCTGGTGTATAGAACCCTGCGGGGCCTTGCCGCATCATGACCGCACTATAAAAATAAATACTAAGCATCTTGATGATATTTGGTTCGGTGCCCTAGTAATGATCTTGCTTGAATAGTGATAGTGATTATCTCTATCCCAGGTCACCAGGTCACAATCGCGAGCAAGATTACGAATTGTGTAGAATTATTTGAAGTGCCATTGATTTGGTTTGGAGGAATGGTAGAATGAATATTAATCAGTATCGTATGCGTCGGCTGAGGTAATCATGGCCTTTGTGACCTATGTCCACTTTCAGAATATACATCTTAGACACAATTGCTGGTATTCACATTTGATATCTCCAGCTACGCATCAAAACAGATCCTAGGAATGATTTTCCTTATCTCACGTCACTCGACGATGTTTTCTGAGGAAGTTGCTCTGCTGGGAAGCCTAGTACACCACCGAAGGAAACGGTCCTTCAAATCTGATTGATACCCACATTTTACCTCCTCAGGTTGCTTCTTAAAATACCATCCGGAGGATATTGACCTCACTACTTGACTTCAATCTCTCCGAAAACGTTCTGAGGTCACTTGGCGAGTTAGAGTCTGTACCATCCGACCACAGCGCGATTTCGAAATTCCTCCTAAATGGGTTCAGCTCTTGGGTTGAGTGCTGGTGACCTCAGATCACACACCTGTGCCTCTCAAGAAGACTGGACGACATTCTATGAAGCTGGCCCTCAGATTGCAAATCCGCTTCAAGATGATGTATACAACTTGTACAAATTTCGCCTTTGTTTTCAGTCCCTTAGAATTCATACTCTACCCACCTTATAGGGCTTAATCTAATGGAAGTAAAAATCAGGTGACATCAGCTGGCGTATAAATCTTCATTGCCCATCTTTCTCAGCTTGGGAATGTGCAGTAGGCATTTTTGATGATGTTCGGATTGACCGCGATTCCCTCAGCGGATGCCTCAGCTCTTACCTCACTCTCTGCATCAAATCTTGCCATAGCTTAAGCCCAATCTATGGTATATAAACCCCCTTTGACTGGCCTCAAACTTCTGAACTCAACCCACTCGATCTCTTTCTGTTCACGCCTCATATCTTCGAACTACAATCCTTCCCCCATTTGCTTTCTACACTACCTTTCCAATCTTCTAGAACCCATTAGCTTTTTGAACTGCCTCGAACTACTCAAAGACTTTTTAACCCAGCTTATATCTTTGAGCAAAACTTAGTCTCTTGTTTCCTTGCCTTATTACCTCTTCAATCCCCATCAATCCATTAGTTTCCTAACCGCTTCAGACTACTTCAAAAGTCTCTATTCTATATTCGACCCACAATCCTTCCCCATTGGCTTGATTCACTGCCGTTTTAATCTTCAACAACTCATAGACTTTCTCAAACTACTCGAACCACCCAAAACCTCTCGATCGGAGCCTTATATCTTCGAGCTACATTTCCCCCTCAATTTTCCTGCCGGTATACCTGTCACAGAACCATTAGATTTTATCAAACAACTTTTAGTCAGTCATGGTCAACCAACGCGACCTTCTCCCAAATCCAATTGCTCCCCGCGACTTACTTGAACTGCAAAAAGACTTTCGAGTCGTGAGAAAACTCGATTCAGGCGGATTCTTCACGGTCTTTGAAGCTCATTCTGACTATCTCGGCTCTGTGTGTGCACTCAAGATAATTCCACATATCGACCAAACCGGCACGAACAAGCAACCTGTCATTCAAAACGAACTCGAGATACTCAACTCGCTCAAGAGGATCCCTTTCATAATCCAAGTGCTAGGTGTTCAAGTCTATTTTCACACTACTTGTATCATGTTTGAATTCTGCAACCAAGGTGATCTTGGTGAGATGGTACGACAATCTAGGATCCCCGAGAATCTCATAAAGCGTTACATACTCGATATCGGTACTGCGCTCCACCACATGCACCGTCGAAACATCATCCATCGTGACTTAAAACTCGATAACATACTTGTGGATCATATGGGGAATGTCAAGATAACTGCCTTTGGGTTGGCGACAGTCTGTCCTTTTCTTGGTTTGACCTCTGGTATCGTCGGTTCTCCTTGGGCTAGAGCGCCAGAGATGCTCACCCGAGCTTCATACAATAATATGGTGGATTGGTGGTCTCTAGGGATCATGTTATTCACAATGGTCACTGGAACGAAGCCTTTTGAGCCAAGTAAGTATTTGCTCATTCGAGATAATCTTTTATCAAAGTTCACAAATTGGGTTTTTTATTGACTCGACTTTTACCCTATTGTTTGGAATCAATTCTCAGGTGGTAGTAAAAACGTAGCATGGCATATTGTTAATTCACCTTTGATGATTCCTTCGTATGTTTCGCCCGCCTGCTCTGAAGTGATTGAAAGACTGTTGGCCAAGGATCCGGCGTTGAGAATAGGTTCTGTGCGAGGCTTGAAATCATGCAGTTTTTTTGAAGGTGTACATTTACGTTTTCGTTGATTGGCTTTCCATAGAGACGTGTTTTCACCAACCGCTTCGCATACCAAAATTTCATTCTCCTAATAACTTTCCTATCTGGTTATCAAATTAGACTTTTGGGCTTCCCTTGGAGATCTCTGTTGCTTTGCGTTTAATGTCAAACTTTTTATAATTAAATTCCATTTCATTCTCGTTTTTTTGGTGATTTTGATTTCTCATTTAAACATGGTAGAGAATACAAATTTGTTGCTTCATTTTAATCTTTCTTGCTGTCCTTCTTGAAGAAAACTAAACAGGTGACAGGTAAGATGTGCACGATGTCAGTGTTTCAATCTGAGCTGCTGGTCCGTGATCAACAGTGCTAGAAATAGAGTGCCTCCGTTCAGTTCCTTTTGAAATCTGGTCTTTGTTTACAAGATAAGAGTTTTGAAGCAAAAAACTGAGTTTAAACTGTCCTCAAATGTCGATCAGTTGGACAGTGTCCAACAAAAAATGTTGCTACAGATCACTGTCATCAAGCCATTCTTGATACATTCAAAAAATCCTAGAAATAGTGGGGTTCAGATGCAGAAGCGCGCGTGCATAATCCTAAATGTTATCAAATTCCAAACTCCGAGATACAAAGTTGAAAGAATTGTGGCCCTTGATAATATCTTGAAATATGATATACTTTTCTCTTGCAAGTGGTGCTAAAGATGAAGTCGTGCCACCTGTTGCACCACTCAGTCTCATGCCGGGCAAATTCAGGTCATGCAGTGCATACAATGTGCGCAGTCCTGGATGTATGTCAGGGCCTGAGGAACCTGTCAGGCATGCAGGACTCCTCATCCTGTACGCACTGTGTATCAATCATCTTGTTCAAACTACTTCTTGGGTTTTTGCAGTAAATTGGAGCATCCAACCTCCTGTGAGACTTGGAACAATATTCATTTCTTCTCAAAGGAGGCACTGCAAGGCGTTTGTTGGTACTATACACATGTACCATACTAGCATCATTATATGGGGTAGGAGATTTTTCCACCGAGCTGATTACACCAGATTATCTGGTGTAAATTCCTTTTGGTGGAAAATGTTGCGATGAACTGAAGCGCACAAGAAGAAAGACAGAAAGGGTGAGGTAAATGTCATAACATGTTAACTAATACTAATAGCAAGATGAAAGGAAAATATACCTGGAGCGCGCAAGAAAAAAGACAGAAAGGGTGAGGAGAGAACCCTTTCCTTGTGCAGCTCCAGGTCGTTTATATACATCAGTTGTTATGTGATAGTTAGAGTGTTCTAACAACAAGTTCACACAAACAGTTGAGTAGAAATGTATACACAATAGACAGGTTAGACAAGAAGCAGTGAGATGGTAAAGCACACTAGGGAAATATGACATCAGGGATACAAGCAAGTTCTTGTGGTGTGAGAAATTAAAGTATGTATTCCAACAGAAAATTCGATCTCAGGGGGGGGTAATTTGATTTTTCCACCAATTTTTTTTTTGAGTGGTGGAAAAAATCCGGTGCAGAAAATTGGGTGTTAAAATCTTGCAACCAGTTGCAATTTATATTTTTCCACCCAATTTTTGACACCAGATAAAGTGGTGGAAAAAACAGTGGAAAAATCTTGGTCCCAGATGGGATTTTTACTTTTCCACTGGATACTTGGCAACTAGGAGTGAACGCTTCTATATACAAGAATAGGTCACAGGAGGTATCAATGACATTGCAATCACATTAGATGTAAGCCAGGACGTGTCGCGTCTCACAGCACTACAATGCTGTGATTCTTACTAACCTTCTTTACCCACAGTGTCATTTTACTAGTCACTGGCAGGCCAGTGAGTTCCATTCACCTCAATCCAATCTCAATTCAATGTCAGTTCAATATCAGTTTGACCTCCAATTATATTTGAGTGGGGGATATGGATGGGCTGCATAATCACTGAAACCTTCCAGACATTCTGACACCTTCATGTGTGGACATGCAACCAAACTTTATTCCAGTTCATTCTGGAAGGTTGTTTGTCTGCTACTCTAGGCCACACATTGAGATTGGATTGATATTGAACTGACATGGATTTGAGATTGGGTTGAGATTGGATTGAGGTGGACATACTCACTGGCCTGCCAGTGAGTAGTAAAATGACACTGTGACCTCTTGTCTATTTTTTCGGAGTTGCTTTCTTCTTGACCATCCTTATATATAGTGGTGGCCTGAACTCTGTTTTCATCCCACACTTCTTATAATTATTTTCAAGTATTATAATCTTCTTCCTAAATCTGTATTATCACAATCTGTTTCCATTATATTATCTATATATCTTATATAACAATTTTTCGGGTCCCGCCACTCCTCTCCCTTTTATGTACATTTTTAGGCCACCCTATAGTGGACCTTTTTTGATGCTTGAGTCAATTGCTATGTACACGTCCCCACGCCTAGGATTTGTAATCATTGGGTTTGGGACAAGCCCTGGCCCCGCCGCTGCAACACTTAAATGATTATGTAAATCACTTGGAGGGGACTGTACATGCACACTATTCTTATAGTATACTTGTACACCTGCAATTAGGGCACCAAGCCCAATTCTAGCTGAAAGTTACATTGGTAGTTAGCTAGATCACCAACCTCCCAAAACCGCAAGCTTAACTAAGTCCCTCCCTGACCTGTACTGGCCAGACCAGAGGAGGGACTTACAAGTAATGTCAGAATTCTGGCTTGAGATCCAACGGTCCTTTCCGCAAAATCCTATGAATCCATCTAATCACAAAATTCCAGTATCAAGTGCCTTTGACATGATAATCAAAAATATGTGCAAGGGGCTTGCCAACAGATCCCCCTTGCCACTTTTTTATTTTCTCTCACGGCCTATAATATATCTTGAAAAAAGGAATGGGGCATATTTGGGGCCAAAGTGACAAACATGAATTTCAAATGCTGTGCGTTTGAGAGAATAGAAAATCATTAAGATTGAACAACACTTTTGCTAATTTGTTGTCAGTCAGAGATATTGGGATTTTTTGTGAATTCATTGGTGTTCTTGCTGTTCATTCATTGGGCAGAAAAGATTTGATGATTTTCTTTGTCAGTCCTGTTTGTGAAAATTTGAACAATCCATCTGCTTCACATGTTACGTCAACTCCAACAATTTGATCCAGTGATGTCTCCCACTTGATGAGTAATTTTTCTTTCAAAGCTTTGTAACTTTCTGAAAGCAATTTTTCAGAGCTTCCGGTTACTGCCCCATTTTTGCTGTGGAGCCAGATGATGACGGTGTCCACGCCTCTACGGTAAGATTATAGTGATTGGTCATACTGACTTACAGTAAAACCTAAAGCCATCAATATCTTGTGGATATGTTTCCACCAGCAGCGCGCACCTTGCTTGGTGCTGTATAGCGCTCTTAAGGCCTTCAATACTTGATTTTTCTTTCTCTTCTTTGACTCTATATCACTATGAAGATACACAGATGTGATATCAAAAGAGTGCACTGGCCAGTTCTGATGGGCTGATATTGTGAGCATAATTCTCAGTCCAGCAAACGTTGCAGTCAGGGCAAAAGTCTCATTATAGTTGATCCCTTCTTTTTGACTATACCCTTTTGCACCAAGTCTTGCTTTGAATTTCGTTGGATTGCCCTCAATATCTAATTTCTTATAGGTGAACACCCACTTCAGTCCAATTGATACCAGTCCATCAGGTTTATCAACAACCCCCCACACCTTCATCTTCTTCATCATGTTCATTTCAGTATTGCACTCTTCTTTCCACTTCACACCATCATTTGATCTCATAGCTTCAGCAAAAGAACACGGTGGTTGTAAGATCTTTAAGTAATCATTCCCATTAAGTACATGAGAGGCTGTTATGTCTTGCTTATCAATCTTCATCTCTTCAGTAAAGTCGCCAAGTTTGAGTGCATTGATGATATGAGCATGTGACACTGAAAAATAATAAATTGTTCCCTTGCTCAAAAGCTGGTTTGGAGTGATCTTTAAGCCAATTTTGGGAGGAGAGCTCCAACAATAATTGTAAACAAGCCTTCTCATGATATGTTGGTCCCTAAGCTTATTACAGAGTTTGGCCTAAAATACCATTGTGACAGTAATCAACAAACTGTTCAATGCCAAAAGTGGGTTTGGGCAACACTACACCTGGGACATATTCTACCGAGCTACATAGCTTAAATACTCACTTTCCTGGATCATCCCAAAGTGCAGGTAACATATGACTTCAATTACACTGAATTCCTTAATTGGGTGTGTTTGCACAAAGGTGTGAAATGAATTAAGTTTTAATACCAAATCCCTCACAGGTGGTGAAACCCAAAGCCTGTGTACTTACACCTAACGTGGCCTTCCTGTTCTGAGAGGTTGTGAGATTTAGTAGGGAAAAACTGGCACAAAAGAAAAACTTTGGTTGAAGAAGAGTTTATTGAATGCCGCTTGGGGACATCAAAGTCATGCTTTTCCAAGTAGCACACTTGGATCAGATCCTTCACAACTTGCACCATTCTCAAGATCTGATTGACACCCAAAACTGTGTAAAATACCTTGTAGCACATCGATGTGCACACACAACAAGATATGAAAAAAAAGAATAATGTTTTGTTGAACTAAGCGTGCGCAAAGCAGCTCAGACCTGCATATTTGTCTCACAAAGGGCTTGCTTCCTGAGCACCTGGACAAAGGGATAGTATTTGGATCCAAAGATCTGTTCAAAGGGAAAGTCTTTGGATCCAAATACCTGTCTAAAACTTCTATCATTCCTCTATGACTTTCTTTTTGTGTGTGCACATTGATGTGCTACCAAGAAATTTACACGGTGCAATCTAAAGAGGAAGACAACATTACACAAAGACACAATTGTGTGTAAACGTTGGAAAGACACAATTTGGATGGCAATGAAGACTTGAGAATGGCTCAATATATGGAGGATCTGAATGATGGGTCCTGCCTAGAAGAAGCAGGACTTTGATTGTTCAACAGGAAATTCGAAAAGCTATCCTGTGGCAGCAGTTTTTCCTTTGGTCCATTCTCTACCTACTAGATCTCACAACCTCTCACACTAGGAAGGCCACATTTGGTGTGGGTCCCTACACAGGCTTTGGGTTTTACCACTTGCAATTTAGTTGAGTTTGACTTGCAAGGGACTTTGTTAAGTTCATGTATTTGGTTTTGCAACTTCATTGGTTGTGCTTGCACAAAGGTGTGATAGATTTTTTTGTTTATTACAAAAACAAAAACAAATCAAAATGACCTTGTTCAAATCAAAACTTAAAGACAACAAAATCCTTTGCTTCAAGATGGTCAAATTTTCCTAGGTATACTAGTCTTCTTGGACCCAACATTTTTAGATAGTGTTTTCATGCAAACCCATTATGCACCCAAAAAAAACCATCCATACATGATCTGCAGTTTGTATTTCCAACTGAAATCACCACAAACATGTGACACATTACATTTGAAATTGAAGACCACTCTGGCCCAGGGTCTGGCTCCAAATGATTTTTTTGTGTTATATGTTGACACCAGCGGTAGTGAGACCCTTGTTAATCTTTGAGAAGTTTTTGGTACGTTTTGTGAGTTTCCAAGGTAGTCAGCCTCATTGAAATGTTGGTGGTAACAATGCGCAGTTACATACTGCTTCACACACACGAACAACGTCCTTGAAATATTTGCTGAAGGGCATACGAGTCTTCCGTTGTTTCTGCTTTATTTCAATCATATCGAGATCGCACTGGTGACTATTCTTTACCTCCACTTTCAATCACTTTCCTTTCTTTTCCACGTAAAATAACTCTACAACTAACGCAACGGCTAGAAGTACTCGACGCCAATATCCATACCTTCATGTATACCTTCATCACTACTTTAGTAGTCTTCCTCACAGCTTGGAACTCTGTCAATGGATTTATGCATCAGTGTCTTCGAAGTTTCAATTCTGTACCATCAGACGCACGACACATAGGTAAGTAATCATTCCTTTGACGTTGAGCTTTGTGTTGTCAGTTTCCTTCCAATTCCGCCTTCTGGGTTTCAAAGTCCTCATAACCTCTTTCCCAACTTTGAAAGATTGTCAGGTCGGCATCGGAAGACATTTCTCATGTGAAATAGATAATTGTTGGGTATCAGAGTCACCAGCCCGAGGAGATACCAAATATAGTGAAGTTTTTGATATCCTACTTCTCGTCAAGCTCACCAATCACTGATCTCACGACTTCCACGCGTTTCTATTATTTGTACTTCAATATATATAGATATACTTGATCACATCACTTTCAAGAATTGTCACAAATACAAGGCTGAATTTGGGAATTCTAAGCAAGAGAAATCTGAAGTTAGTGTTCAGGCTGTGGCTTATTGGGGATTCGATTGGAAAGATCATCTTAGTATGTCACTTGTATCTTTGTTTTCTCATAATCACGGTGTTTGATTCACCAATCCACTCAAACATGCAAGATCCTAATTTGTTCGAATCCCGTAGATGTGATTGGGCATGAGGTTGGGAAAGAGCCTCCAAAAAACCAACCACTGCCAGGATATAGGTGTTATGATTTGGAATCGCCACTTGCGCGTGCGTATCAGTTTAGCTCGAGATTAAAATTCGAATCAATCATGATCCTTTTTATCCTGATCAATAAACAACTGATCCTGTTGGTTACTCTTTGATTGTAAAACCCTCATTACCTTACTTCTAGAGTGCCGATCTGACAATTGCAAGCTAGTAGAAAAGCCTAAAGATCAGTGATCTCATCAACGCCTTCACGGTCAAGCAATTTCTCTCTTGATGCAAAGGTTCTAATGGTGCTCTACCCACTCATGACATGGGTCTTGGAGGCGCAAAACATTGCATAGACATTTTCATGTTCATGTTATAGTTAATTGATCGCCTAAGGTTCCACTACAAAAATAAACCTTTTACCATGTACAAACTACCATAATTCAGGTCTGCTCTGACCAATTCTTCCAATTGCAAAACCAATTTCCTTTATAAACTAGATCTTAAAACCCAACTCTTCGTAGAATCAAATTGGCAAGGTATGATGAGATTGCATTTCTGGGCCGAGTTCACTTAACTTTAAAAAATCAGATAGTTTGATCATCCACATCCTAACTTAATTCTCGCAAGACTCTTTCCTCCCACCCGAGCTCCGGACAGACACCCAGGATTACAAGGATCAAGTGTCTGACAGTGAATGAGAAACTTATTTAAGTTAGATCCACATGAGTGTTTCCTGCAAGACCATTCTATCCTATGTGCATTCTCCAACACTTCATTGTGATGGTATAATTCAAGAGATGGATACGGGTGAGGTACGCCCATCCGGTCGTGAACACACTCCCATCACTGTAAAAGATCATAACATTCTGAAAGACTTTTGAAAGTCTGATGAACATGAGCAAAACAGAAGGTTTAGTAGCTCTGCAACACGGATTCAGGTGTTGAGCGTAAGTGTAAGTGATATGAACTCTTCAAAAGAGATTGTCATGATGAAGTAAGATGTTGTGAGGCACATGAGACCTTCAAAAGAGAGTGTGGATATACACAGGTTCTTTGTGTGAAGTTTGCCTGAGAACATCAAATCCAGCTCAAGGTTAACATCAAGGATCCATTACATCAAACCTATCAAATCTTTTTCAAATTTAATCTTCAAACCTCAACAAGAGATGAATGATCATATTGTATTGATAACACCCAAACTTTTCAAAACGATTTATAACAGTCACACGATCCAAAGCCTCAGCAAGCCCAACTCTCAAATCACAAAAGTTAATCAATCCAATCCAAAAACCACAATCTAATCTTCATTCTTTTCTTGTATATAATTAGTTCATTTTTTTCCTACAAGTGTCTCTCAAAAAGTCAAAAGAAAAGTAAAAAGAAAAACTGAAGAAAAAAGATCATCAAAATAAAACAAACAGATTTAATCAAAAAAAAAGAATGACAAAAAAATCATCATCAGATTTTTAAAAAAAAACACTTTTCATTCACTACAATTCATCTTCTCTTTCTCTCTCTATTCTTTATTCAATAATTCCGGTCCACCATTCGCCATCATTGCCGAAGCAAATCCTTTGCCATTTGAAAACCTAAAAGCTCATCAAAAAAGAAGAAAAGTATCAAAAGAAACCCCATTGAAATCCAAATCAGTTTCGTTTCTTGACCCTACTCTTTACCTTTACTCAATCCCAAATCTTTGATAAAGCGGGAGGAAATCTCATCAGAAATGAAATCCCACTCACTTTCGTATAGGTAACTCTGGTAATCTAATCAATTCGGGTGCAGCACCTGAATTGACATTTTCAGATATCGAAGCATCACCCCCATTACCAGCTAACGCACCTACGTTTCCAGAACCAACAGGAGCAGGAGATGACGTGCCTCTTCCAGCCGTTCTATCAAGACTCGGTGTAGGTGTCTCACGTTTAGTACGAGAAATCTAAAGAATCCATTCCTAACTTCATCAGTGGTTTTTTTCTCAAAGACTCTTTAAAAAAATCAATCAAGACTGACCATTGGACCAGCTTGATTAACCAATGGCATCGGATTCGTTCTACGAAAACTAGCTGGAAGAGTAGGACCTCCCAAATTAGGTTGAGGTTCAGCTGAGAGTGGGACTGTATATCTCGTTCTACCAGATCCAGCTGATGGCCCACCAGCTGGTGATGCTTTAGCATGAGATGAAGCTGCTGAACCTAAGATGCCTCATTGAAAACCAAAATCTATCTTGAGTGACAAGAAAGACGAGAGAAAGGATCGTAAAAAGTGAATGGCAACTTACCAGGTCTAGATGGATGATGAGGTTGGAAGTAAGCCGTGCCCGACTGAGTGACTGCCAGAGGAGTACCAAGACCAGCAGGTTTAGTTTGTCTTGAGCTCACGTAATCAGAGTGTTCATCTACACATTTCGAATTGTAAGTAAATTAACCATCTACCCAGATTCACATAACACTCATCTTCATTGACACAAAACAAACTTGCTTACCTCCAACATAAGTCCAAATCCAGAATGGAATCCCCGAGACTCCAATCACTTCTCTACGTTCCTTTTTCCATTGTCTCACCCTAGGCGTTCGTTTCTCTAAGGGATGGATAGGTAAGAACTGAGGAGCTTGCGTACGCGGCACAGTTCCAACCACAGCTGGTTTATAAGCCGGTACAGGTGGTGGTGGTGGTGGTCCGAGACTATAATCATGTTGCATTCTTGGTTTTGGAATCGGGAATGTCACTTGTGTAGGCTCAGCATCAGTCGTGGTGAATGGGTCAGTGGCACTAGTGACGGATTGTGCCAATTTCGATCTATCGAAGAAAAGATCATTCTCGAATTCAGGATCAAAGAACCATCTGATTACAAAGCAGAGCAAATCCTTACGTTGGTTTCTTGGTTTTCGCACCGGTCTTGATTGCCTTTAACACCACAATCGTTCGAGAGGCTGGAGCAGGTCGGCTACTTTCTGGCACTACCGATGTTCCAGCTACTGGTGCAGCTTCCATAGGTATCACTCCAGATGCAGGAGCTTTCCTGATCACTTTCTTTCCCGTCTCGTTCTTTCCAATTCCAGTTGAAGACTTTTTCTTTTTCTTTTTAATCGGATTCACACTGCTACTGCTCTCGATAGGTACCGGATCAGGTTGAGTAGCAGCAGCTGTCAGAAGCTCTGCATCGGTCAAAGGCTGTAGCTTCACAGGACGAGATCGAGACATGAGACCATCGAGAATTTCATTCGTCTTGGGTCTTGGTGCTTTAACTTTGATAGAGGTAGGTGGATTCGGAAGATCTGATGTGTAAGAGCTCAAGTCACTATCATGACCTGTACCGGTCTGTAGAGTTTCGGATTGTTCAGATGGATGCGGAAGAGGTGGAGCAGAGACGGGCGGAGCTTTAGTATTCAAGGTCGACTTGCGCTTCTTCACCACCCGGTTCACTGGATCTTTAGTTCTAGATCGCTTGGAAGGATTCGAAGTAGTGGTAACAGGTGCAGGTGGGGTGGGTGGTGGCGAAGGAGCTGATGAAAGACTATCGTCTGAAGAAGCGAGTTGATCTTCTTGCTCTTCTTCTTCACGATGAGCATGATGAACTTGTGGAACAGGTCGAGGAACAGGAGCAGAAGCTGAACCAGGAGGAGGACCGGCTAGTTTGATTTTGAGTTTAAAGCTACCTGAAGGAGGTGGGATGAGGGGTGGTGGTGGTTGTTGTGAGTGATTTGAATTGGATGGATTACTTCGTCGAGGTTGAGCACTCATGTTGAAGGATGAGATGAGTTGAGTTGAGATGATTGAAGTGATGAGGAAGTCGATCTGATTACAAAAAGTCGAATGTGGTCGATGCTGAGTGACTCTGATATCGGAAGTAGTAAGTGAGCTGAAGTTTCCCAGTCATGAATCCCCTGATCAAGACATGAGACTGGTAACTGGTTACGCCGCTACTACCATTTCCCAAATGCCCCTGTAGACTTCGTTTGGTCGATCATCAAATTCAAAGACGAACCCAAGTTCACTTGATCACTTCATTCTCATCCTATACCCTCTCTCCTGATGCTGTTGGTCAATATCAGTCTAGATTCATATCAACTCATGATTCATAAAATTGGATTCCTCATTTAACACAAACCCTCAGTTTCGAGTTTCTAAAAAATCAAATCTTTTGAAATCAAGATGATTTTACCGACAAATGACAAACTCGTCATTAATTGGCTCCAGGCTTGCTCGCAAAATTCCTCAAGCTTTATAGAAGTTGATGGTGACTTTTACAAATCAGCGAAAAAGATCAACTCGTTCAAACTATTGTCCCGATTTTCAAAAAAATCAAACCAAAGGAACCATAAAATCTTGAATGAATAAATTTCATCAAGCTTCAAACTATCCAAAAGAATTTCGAATATTTCAAAAATCAACAGATCCATCAGAGTCATGATGACTTTATCACTAATTTGAAAGATGCTTGAATAAACCATCACCAAATATGTATACCTAAAGCCATTGAAAAGTTATACAAGATAAGAAAGAACAACTCATCCACACGATCCATGACGATATACAAAAATTCAACAAGTTATACTCTTTCACCAACCAAATCGATCAATAAGATAACTTTCAATATGAAGATTTATTATAACCTCTACCTCTACCTCTCCATCCAGCTCGGTCTCCTCTCGATGACGAAGACTCAAGTTTAGGTAAACCAAGTCTCGGTGAAGGGTTTTGAATCATAGGAAGAGATTCAAGTAAATCCAAAATCGAATCGATGCAACTTTTTTCAATCGGATAACTAATGAAACATTTCCCAATTCCATTCAACGGGTTCATCGATTCTACTTGTTTATCAAATGGATCTAATTGTAAATGACGTTCGTATCCCTATTGTAAATCAATCAATCAAAAACACCTCATCAGTTTATCAAAAAAAGGGTGCTGGACTTTATACGTCATCTGGTTTTTTTATGGATGGTTTTGTATACTGTGGTTACTGACTTCAGATGGATGAGGTGGAACCCAATTCTTGATCCCAAGTCTAAGAATCCCCTGAGCTTCATTCACATTCTTTAATGTCTCATGATCTGTTCTAACATTTAATCGATTCGAACATTCCTTTACTCCAAAATCCAATCAAAAAACCAAAACCAAAAAACCTTCATCAAACCTCAATGAGATATTTCTTAAGATTTATAGATAAACTTACCAAGACTGGTGTGTTGAATTCAATTAAATCAATCGTAACAAACCTATGACTCTCACGTCGATACTCTAGACCAATTTGGATCCATTTAGACCTTTGTTGTAAATCAAAGTTTTGACGATCTATAATCACTGAAAGTCCCTTTAAAAAAAGAATTTTCATCAGAAGAAAAAGTAAAAAGAAAATCATTCACATTTTCAATCAGAAAATCACTACTTTAGATATCTTATATCATAAAGTTCAACTTGAACAAATTTTTATTTTTAGGAGGAAAAATTCAAAGATGTTCAAATCATTACCTCTCGAAGACTTCTTCTTGTAATCCTTTCACATTCTTGACGTGTTCCTAAAACGTCTTGAGAAATTCGAACATAAGACTTTTATTTTTGCGAACCATTTAAATCATTTATTTGATCAGTAAAACCAAAATCAAAAAAAAAATCACGAACAGAACGAGTTAATTACAAACTCAAAACAAACCGAATCAAATGATACTACTGCATTAGCAAATGTACTTTTTCCACTTCCCCTATTTCGATTCATAAAATGAGATATATAATTACATAGATCGAAAGGGATACTTATCAAAAGGTTTTCACTCACACTAATCCACATAAGATTAACATTCTTTGCTTTTTATCATCTTGCCCTTTGGTTACATTGAGCTCTACTGGAGGTAAGCGACTTTCAATCGACCGAGTTGGAAGCATTTTATAAAACTTCTTCAACACGTTTCTCAAGCTTTCTCATCGAGTTTTATCATCGGATGCGGATCGCAGGCTCTGTGCAAGGGTCGGTTCTCGTGGCGCTTTACCGGGACCGCTCGGGGACTGCTCCGCGCGGGCTTCAGCCAATCTTCGCGGGTCAAAGGACCGTCAAACATTCCTTTGGAATCAGAAAAACTTGATCCTTCACATCAAATTTATTTCAGATTGGCTTGAAACAGCATTGCAATGTCGGCTGAACGCAGTGAATTCCATCTTCAATGGACTATCTTGCATCTTTTCTTTGGATACCCAAACACTTGAACATATCAGAGAACATAATTGAAGACAATATGTATTGTAATTTATGAGAGCTACGCGACAGAGAGAGAAGTTGAGAAATTCGGAATAAAAATATCAAGGAATACATTTGAGGAATACATCATATCAATAATCAAACAACCTATTAAGATTCACTTGATTTTTTTTATCGTTAGTGGAATTGAGACACAGCGGAAAGTGACGACAAACAGATGATTGATCTTTTTTTCCAAAGAACATGACGGGATTCTTCGTCAATCCTTTAGAGGTCTATCATGATTTGGTACCATCATATCTAATATGCATCGTAGGGATACCTGAATTCGAACCCGCAATCTTGAGTTTTTCCAACTTCCCTTGACCACCGGGCGCCCGTCTGACTTGAGGAAGTGATAAAACCTGGCTGATTACGATAGGCACAATGTTTTCAAAGACCGAGAGACAATATCCCTCAACTGTAATCAAATGAGAAAGACAGATAGGAAACGGTCTCGAATCAGAATTTGATCGTTTGATTAGATTGGCACCATACATAGACGAGCTTACCATCTAACAAGCGCAAGTAGGAAGAGGTATCTCGATCAAGTCGAAAATCGCTGTCAATGATTCCAATAGGTAGCTAAAAGGAGTATCACGTTATTCAGTCTCTTGTTTCAAAGAAAGATAAGTCGAGTGATCCTCACAGAGCGAGAATTCCTATTTTGATATTCGGATTTGAATACCATACCACGCAAAGATTCATTCCAGTGACCAAGACGTGTGGCTTCCAATGCATGCCTAGAAAATGCCTCATGTAGTCCAGGTTCGTTGTTTCCCTTGATGATCGTTTCCAAAGTTTCTCGAATTCTGGGAACTTCATCCGGCTTGGTAACTTCGGGCAAAAGATAGTCCAGCGCATTTGCCGTACCATTTACGATGGTAAAGGCCAAGGTGGAAATTGCTCTCAAACAGTCAGCTGCTAGTTCATCGGGCGACAATGGGTCAACCTGAGCATTGTTCTCAGCCGTCAAGGTCTTATAAAATGCCAAGGTATCGCCATGTCCGCCTTTAAATCCAGGATCTTGACCAGACACGAATTTGACAGTCTCTTCAAGCGCTCCCAAAGCCCCCATCATTGCCATAGATGCGCCCTTCTTGAACGTATCTCCAACTGACTGTATCCCGAAATTCGAAAGCAGAGGGGGTAAGTCTTGGAAAAGTATAAGGCTTGTAGAGATCAGTTCGGGGTTTTCTCTTACGTGAGAAGGGGCGCATCCTTGAATGTGAGATTTGATCTGCCAGGTCAACCCAGAGGCAGCTATTCGCGCAGCTGCACGAGCTTTGAAAGATCGCTGAGGTGACTCGGTTAGATAGCAATAACTAGGGGTACAGAATTTACTTCAGGATGTAGGCTGGAGGGTTTTATGCTTTGGTTCGAACTTACACATCACTCAAGGTAGATAGAAGAAGCTGTTGCGAGTGAATGCCAGTCTCGACAAGGCCGAACACATGAGCGAGCCTTAAGAGGATACATCAGCGCAAATTGTTGAAGTGTATCTGAGTGAGATCACTCACCATCCCGAAACCAAAGGGTTTGTGACATCCCGAAGAACATCAACTGTCTCATCAGATGAAACTGGGCTTCGCCTCGTGGAGCATTCTTGAATGCGGCTGTGAATGAAATCATGGTATTGTTTTACATCTTGATGATACATCACTTTCTCCACTGCCTTATAGACGAGCTTGATGTTGGAATTCATGTGGTCCTGAGAAAGATAAATTACGGGTGGTCTAAGCATCACACGCGAAAAACACAATCGAGTACTCAATACCAACTTACCAAACCGACGATCATGCCCATCCTCTGAGCTTCTACCCTGGGAGTATCTTTAGATGATAGGATAGTATCAGCAATCAACCTCGAGATGACTTGGATGCCATGCATACCTGAAAGCTCATAAACCAGCGTTCTTTCACCGCTCTGGATCTGTTTATAACCAATGATAGGTTGTACGGGAGGATCGATCGCATAGTTGAGTGCCTTTTGGTGGCTAATCTTCTGCATGACGGAATATGAGTGCTGAGGTAGTATGAAGGGAACTGATAACAAGCGATCATATCAGAGGAAGCGACATCTTGTAAAATATTTGAAGTTTTACTTACATAGTAGTGCAACATCATTAAACGCGTATTGGTTGGGTCTGAGAGTCTCAATGGAGGAAATCAGTTGGCCATAATGCAAGACAGGACTGCGGCTCAAAAAGCTCACAGATTCTCGCGTATCAGTTTTTCGAGCATTCCTCCAGGTGCGCCGTTTTGAGGATCAGGCTGGCAGTCAGCGAGTCCCCAATTGGTCATAACATCTGCAGTTGCATTATCCTAAGAAAAAAACATATCTCAGGATCGTGGAGGTCAGATAGGGTGATAGAGTCAAGTTCCTAAATACCGTATAGAAGCGATCTCCTCGAACCAATGCAACTATGAATAGCAAAAGCAGGATACGGTAAAGATGAGTGTTTTTTTAAAAGCAAAGGTTACACAAGAACGATACTAACTTGCGTCACTTAGTATAGCTCGACTGATGGTATAAGGAAGACAAACACCCGATCCCAATCTTGGTTTTTTGGCTTCCTCTCCGTGCAGACCAACATGAAGCGGAATGTTGGCTGGGTGTCCGACAAGATCCTCCATTGCAGAAGCCTGTGGATTCAAATTTATGTCTTGTGATCAGTTGGTCTAGTTTCGTGGGCTTGGATGCAAGAAGGTCTTACTGACAATTTCTGGGTCCGAATTCCACTCTTGGAATGTCTGGAATTCCTTCAAGCCAATAAACGCCCTGAATTCGTTTAGCGTACATAATTTCCAAACATCTCTGCAGAAATCAAAAAGCGCAAGCATGTCAAATCTTAAGAGAGATCCACTTGGTAGACCTATTCCTTTGATGCACACCTCGCCGTCCGCATCCCTTGGCATTCAATCCAGCGCATTACTGCTGGTACATGTCTGGCTCCGAAGGCACCTGCAACTTCATATGTAGAATCCTTCAAGATCCTCGCCAAATCCTCATCGCGGAATTTACTACTTTGCGAGTCCCTCTCATAAACACCTTCGGACTCCACCACGGGTGGACCCTCCACAGGTATTCTGACTTCTCGTTTCGATAACTGATAAAATCAAATATCTATCAGCAAGCTAGATGCGGAAGCAAATCTCAAATCTCAAAATTGTCAGCACTAACCTTCCAAACTTTGGGATTATGAGCATTTTCATCGGCAGCATTCAACTTGGTTTTCAAGATTTTAATCGCATCCATCAAAGTCGACATATTCATCTCGTCCCATTCTAGTTAAAACCCTCTGTTATCAATAGGTCGTGAATATTTCTCAGGACAAAGGCTCTCGCACTCACTCCGACTTGGTAGAGCTTTTTCAAAAGTTGACTCAAGCCATTGCTAAACAAATATAATGAGGCAGAAAGAATGATGAGCTTATACTAAGAACAGTCTTCTATCATATAAATAAGCATCTTGATTCAACTTACGGTCTGAGACCACGAGATCGGGGCGTGCCATCGATCTGGGAACAAAAAACTCGAGGCGCTATTCAGTTCTTTCATTCACAAATTATAGGCTGTGTGTGGAACGGATTAAACCCACAAAGGGTATTGAACTCGACGCTAGTCGAATTTCCAGTAGCCTTCGGAGTGGTACCTAAAATGCTTTTGATCGGAAGTCTAGGGTTGAGACTCCAATCGCTATCAGCTTGCGTGGTGTTCAAAATGGCCTTGGGGAGTGCGAAGCGAGTGATGATCAAGGGGCCGATGAGTTTCTTTACGCGTAAATCTATGGAAATTTACAAGCAAAGGGCCCACCTGTAGATAATCTCCAAGGATGATGCCAGCGTAATAACCGCAATTAACGTGTCGTGCCGTACCAAAGATCTCATCGTCTTGTTGTTTCAATTCTTCTTCGCTCAGTTTGCTCAGGTCTGATTTCCAACTACCGCGTTCATTGAGTTCTAGTAACTTCTTGGCGATGCGGTTGTCTATTTTGGAAAAAGACAGATCAAGAGTGAGTTTCGGGTGAAGAGTTCAAGTCCCGTCTTTAATCCTCACTTACGATTCCTGGAGAAGAGAACAAGCAAAGCACATGAAGCTGGCGGCATCATGAGCAATCGATCCGAGGCAAAGGTATCGTTATACAACAAGCCACGACCAAGCTGTTCTTTGTCGCGTATACTTGCTTGTTCCTTATCGCTGACGCCATATAAAGGATCCAAAGAAGCATAAGATGACGTCAAATTCTGCCACGGGCTGGGCTTCTTGGGTTTGTCGTCGGCTTGTTCTGTGTTCTGATCCGATTCGTGATATTTGTTCGGGACTTTGACTTCTTCGCGATTGTTGGTCCAGACTGATGGCAATGGCAACCATGAACAATCATATGTCAGCTTATATTTCCAAAATTCCTCGTAGACCAAGATCAATCACAAAAGAAATGAACTGACATATGTCGTGAATGACGATATTCGCAAAACCAAAGAATAAACTGGAAATGCGAGCTGGGTGAGGGGTAAAACCTTCGTACCCCGTAGGACGACGTAGAATAGCATCGAACATGTCTTCGGGCTCAGCTATGTGAGTCGGAACAGGATGAACCGGTCGAACAGATCTGGAATACGGTTGATTGGCAGCTCCAAGGAGCGGATCACCAGTCAGGTTGTTGTCACTTCCATCAGCTTTCCTGAAGCGATGCTTGGGATTCAAATCCACTGTTGGAGGATGAGAGAGATCCTGTTTATTTTTCATGCGAGGCAAATATTGGGTTTCAATACATTTAAAAAAGGACAAAGTTCAGAAACACTCACATTCCAAAGCAAAGTGATAAATTGATTCTGAGCCGCATCAACATATTTATTAGGAGCGTTATGTCTTCTCTTTCCAGCACGAGAGAGAAAAGCGACGACTTCTTCAAGTTGAAGTTTTCGGTCATCCAATGGTTTTCCAACGCTAGTCAATAAGTTCGCGACCATAGCAAGGTTCTCTGGTACCAAACCCGCCAAGGTTTGTTGAACAGCGAGGTAAGCCAATGAAGTTGATTTTTTATTATCAGTGGTAGCTGATTCTTCATAGTTATCCAAATGACCGTATTGACCACCCTTGGAGAACAGGTAATGCGAGACAATTCCAGCGGTCTGAAAAATTCAAAGGATGTCAGAATCATCCTCTAGAAAACTAAAACTCAATTGATCACAAGAACGTACCTCTTGGAATTGAGCAACTCTACGCCATAATCCAGAATCGCTTGAAGTAGGTAAATCAGTAGCTGAACCAATCTGTAATAGATGAGTATATCCTCTAGTCTGAACTAAAGCTTCACCAGCTTTAGGCTGGGAAGACTGTTGAGAGTGATAAGGTCTGTTGGCAGTGGTTTGTTGTGACATGGTTAGATAAAATCAGATTATATGCTAGCAAATTATTTGTAAAAGGTTGAGAGATGATTTGGGTGTATGATGAAAGTTTACTATGATCGATAAATGGTCAAGAGAGATAAAAGAACTTATAAAGTGATATCATTCTTCACAGCATTCCATTAAATCAAATCAACACTTTAGTTCGATTTGATTGATCTTATATATAGATATAGACTGTTTAATAAGATGACGATGATAGCCAGTGATAAAGCCATCCAGTGATGATAGATTAAACTCAATTTTCTTTCTTGAATCGTTAATCGGGATCTTCATTCAATCTGTTTCAATCTGTTTCAATCTGATCGGTTGTCGATTCAACCTCTCTCTCTCTTCGCGTGTTTGAAACAAAAGAGACTTTTGAGCCCGAGACCGTGATTGGCTCATGAGCTTGGATTTGACTAGGTGACAAATTACAATTGTGAAATCCACTCAGCGCGCGGCCTTGTCTGTCTCATGATCACAGTGCTGTCTTGGTGGAGATGGGCAGCAAAATCGCTAACTTAACCCAAGTCCGATCGTGCAAAAGCTCACGGTAACCCGAAGCCGAGGCACGAGGGACTTGCACATTAAATAACATCCCTGGTGTGACCAATAGGCCCCAAAAGTGAAATTTGGGTCACTTTTGGATACAACCCATCCTATCTCATTCAACATTACTTTGATGTTGTTTCTGAAACTGGCTGGTATGAGTTCAGCATCTTGTACATAACTTCTATTAGAAAAAAAAGAGAATCAAAAGTGCCAGCTCACAAGAATTGAGCTGGAAAACGAGTAACAATTTTGTTCAGAGACATTACAGAGAGTTGATTGAAAGCTCAGATTCAACCGAGGGCATGTCAGAAACTTGCCTCGGTAGCGACCCATGCAGCGATGAAAAGAAACGAGTTCTGAGAAAAGAAACGAATCTCGAGAAAGGAAATCATCTTCAGAAAGAATTTACCGATTTCAACCGTTGATGAAATCCGATCGACTCCTGTTTATATTCTCATATGGATCCATCAAAGTCATCGCCAGCTCGACCTTCGGATGTGTCTGAAAAGCTTTCGTCCGTGACGGGCGATCTACCACCTGTTATCCTTAATAAGGCAATCTCAAGCAAATCAAATCAAGAACTCGCTTCTTATATTGGATTGAAATTCCTGAAGAAGTATAATCAGGACGCTCGAGAATTGCAAAACAAGGCGGTTCTGGCTGCGGCTAGAGAGGAAATCGTATTTTTGATTGCTGGTACTGGATACGGAAAGACACGTATCGCTGAGGTTTTTAGATCGCTATTCAGTGTGAAGTCACTTGGCATTGTACTCATCCTCAACCCACTCGATGCCTTGGGAGACAATCAAGTTTTGGAAAAGAGGAAGGATGGCTTGAAGGCAGTAAATTTAACTGCCTTGAACTTTACTTCGGAGGTGGCACACGATATTGAAAAGGGTGTGTATTCCTTCATCTATCTGGTACGTTGCATTTCTTTGATGCTTCATGATAACCATCACAGTTTTGTACAATATTTTTTAAACTGATTGGTGTTGTATTATGTTGAAAAATCAGAGCCCGGAAATTTTTCTTACGAATCGTACCTGGCTGAGAATCTATAATAGCATCTGGTTTCGGAGACGGCTGATTTTGAAAGTCGTTGATGAAGCCCACATGATCTACGAATGGGGTTTGGTTGAAAGTGGTCAGGCGAAGCATATGAGTGTCGTCAAAAAAGAGCAGGATGGTGGCAAATTTCGACCTTCGTGGGGAAAGCTCTGCTTACAACTTATGGCAACTCGACATGTACCACTCTTGTTAATGTCAGCTACCTGTCCAGCACCACACTTTGATGCCATTATCAATAATCTCAGTATCAAACGCGAAGACATAACAGTTTTGAAAGGCGAGTTGTGTCGGCCGGAAATCCAAATTCTGAGAGTTGGAGTAGCAGCAATGGGATCTCTCGACTTTCTCAACAAACATTTCTCCAAGAGAGTCGACATACCCGACAGCGAGGTTGTCCCAACCCTTGTCTACTCAGGCTCTCGCAACGGCACTATGCATTCTCTCAGAGCAATGAACAGATCTCGAGATACTAAAGGTGACGAGTCCAATCCGGATAGCACCTTTGGTCAACGTTATCATTCTTGTTCGGGAGATCAAACAAAGCTTAATCGTATTCAGGATTATACAGATCGTAAATTTCCGATAATGTCATGTACAAGTGCTCTTGGTCTTGGACAAAATTGGACTCATGCAAGGATTGTTGTTCAGCTCGGCCGAGCTGGTCTTTCTGAAGTTACACAAGTGGTTGGTCGAGTCGGAAGGAACAAGAGGCCTGGGCTTGCTGTGATCTACCTTGAAGAGACTCGAAAAGAAGGTTTAAATTCGATAGATGACTTCAAAGACATGACTTCACAAACAGATGACCAGAGAATGGATGCGTTGAAGGTTTCAAAAGTCTGTGTGAGGATTGCTTTGGTGCTTGCAAACACGTAGGTTGATACTCTAGCTTTTTCATCTTTGGTCAATCCTAAATCTCACTTTGGTTGTTGTGTACATAGAACAGGATTTATTCCAATGTATCCCGATCATGATTCTGTTCGAAATGAAGCTCAGCGTCAAAAAGATCAAGGCTTTCCACCTTGTCACTGCGAAATTTGTGAGCCAGAGGAGTGTGAAATCCTAGTCCGGAACCTCCACTTGTTTACATCATCCAACTTCGAAGAGGGTTTAAAAGACCCACGATCACTTGACCCCGATGCCGACTATAGTCCAGCTGGGATGAAAGCAGCAGAGAAAAGTGGTACTATTGTAAACAAGCGAAAGAAAGTCAATCAATCTAGAGAGACTGAAGACATCGACTTCCTTGACCTGATACACGAGCTAACGCAAGTGTTCTCAGATCACTTTGGATCGATCTACAAGGATCAGGCTCCGTTTCCGCCGTCTGTCCTTTTTGGAGAAATTCATCTTAACAAAATAATTGATCACATTGAATCAATCAATACTGAAGAGGACTTAAGTGAAGTTATCGGTGGTGATGCTTTGTTGGGAAGCATAAAACACCTACTTAAAACAATCTTGGATTGGAAATCCGACTTTTGTGGCGAGCAACACTACAAACGAATCAAAGAGGAGAAACAGATTTCTGACCTCAACAATCAAATTACAATTGAAAGGCTAGAAAAACAAGATGCTGATCGGAAAATGAAGCAACTGGAAAATTCCTCGGATCAAAAAAAGAAAGCCGATGAGAAAGCGCGAAAATCACAGGAGAAGATTGATGAGAGGAGAAGAAAGCATGAACAAGCGGAATCAAAGAGGCATAAGCGCGCCCAAGATGATATTGAAAAAGAAAAAGTCAAATTTCGGAATCAGAGGATGATGCAATGGCTACGAGAAGGTGTTCAAGAAAATGATCTTGATGCAAAAGAGCTGGAGTATCAAAGGTGAGACTTGCCTGTTTATTCTCCTGCCTCCCAATCACGCAGCTCAGGATCAATTTGAAACTCGTATGGATCTGACTCTTCTTCCACATTTGATGTGACTTCGGAATTGTAGATCCCTCGAAAGGGCCAATGAAATCAGTCATTTGTCCCGCTCAGAGAATCTTGAGACAGTTTGACTGTTCCGAGGAGATAGATATCAGGAATCAGACCACTTCTTATTGTTGATCCGGCTTGACAGCTAATTAAGTTGTTATCTCGAGCAAAGCCAACAAAGTTCTGAACTGTATTGAGTGTGAGCAATGTCTTTGATGACTGGTATGTGTCATTTAACCCTGAGCGCCCCTTGAGTGTATGAAGGAGCTTCCGGAGCTGAAAAGCAGATGAGTCAGGATCATCAAATCAGACCATGATATAGCTCACAAATTACTCACATGGGGTACACATATTGAAAATGTATCCCTCAAGCGAGAAATTTCTGTCCCACTCCCCTATGTGAATTCAAAACCACTATATAGATCAACATCCACTTTAATAGTATATCAAAGAGAATAACTCACCGATCTATTGTAGAAATACTTTATCCAATAGTTTTGAACTTCAAGGAAAAAATCCTTGGCCACAAAGTGATTTTGTCGTCCGCTTGGAGCAATTAACATTGAATGTAAAATGACATGAGCCATTGGCTGTGGGAGTGTTTTGGTTAAGAGAACAACCACTCGTGGAAGATAGGTTGAGTAATGAGTGAGACCATTCATTCCTTGAATCATCACACTCCATCTCTTCCACATAAGCATGAGACGGCCGATATCTCCCGCAGACATTGCTCGCTTTGCTTCGACAACAGTCGCAAAGTCTCGTAACCTCAGCAAAAGCTGGCATTTACGCTGGTCTTGATCCTTTTGGGCTGCAGGAAGCGCTGATGTTGAAAAGATGATTTCAAATGTTTTATCAATAACTTTGTCAAATTCAACAGCATTTGTATCAAACCTTTCTTCAAGATCTAGTTCAGTCTTGCCAAGGATTTCACTGTGTATTTTCAAAGGTGTCAGTTTCAAATCGTTTTGTTCTACCAAAAAAAAAAATCTTTACAGAAGTGCATAGGTTATTGTGGCTTCATGAATTTTCTCGATCCATCGAAGCATTGATGTGAAATCTTTCTTTGCTGTTGGAGGTGCTTTTTTTCCTGAAAGGGCAACAACAGTCTGCCATGCGCCAAAATCATTCATGTCGGATGGGTCTCCCCAATGATGGAGAAGAATGGCTTGAGCAATATTCCAAATTGTATGTCCAGCACCTGGAAGAAGTAAGATATTCTCTAAATTCTCATCTGCGATCTTTGTTGCTTCACGCTGATTTCGTAGTCCATCAAAGTTGAGGCAAGTACCAAGATCACCCTCCAAAATGTGAGTTCGGTTTGAAAATTCTTCTTTGGTCAAACCGGATTGGCCAATCACTTCCTGCCACAGCTGACCAACTCCATCAGATCCATTATCAGTTGAATCCATCATTCTGAGCATCAGGATATTTGGAACTTGACATTTAATTTGATCAAGTGGCGCCACGTTCAAGAAATTCGAGTTTGAAACATTCCTTTTATTTTTGACATAGCGGAGAAAGACAGAGGCAATCTGATTCTTGAGAGTTAGAATCCACCGACTTTGTTCATCTTCAGTCGGCATCAAGAGGCCCAAGTCTATTTTTTTTCGTGCAGTCATCTGTAAGATATGTCGAATGTTGTCTTTGCTGAATGCTCCGGTGTCTAGATCCTTGAGTAGTTTGGGGTTTAATTGATGGATGTAACCCCAAGAACCATGATACATCTGAGTCTGCTGATCAATTCTTTCGTGGTGGATACGCTCCTGAATGTCAATGTTATCTAGAACAATCACAGGCGATAAGACCAATTTCTTTGACATCACTACTCGAATCTTTTTTACTGCCTGTTTTCCTAAACTTGCTAGACCGTTCATCGCAGTTGACCGGGAACAGGTTAATCCGATATAGTTCAGGTAACTATTGATTCTCTCGGTGACACCACATGCTAAGAAGGTAAGCGAGTTCTCGACTTGGAGACTATTACATCGGCGATTGCAAGCAAAGGCAAGCATTCCCATCAATGTGGCGTTGATCTGTGTTTGAATCAAACAACAAAAGTATCAGTTTCAACTAAGCTTGTAAAGGTATCTTTCAAAAAAGAGATCGACTGCAACTTACTGCCTGTAGACGATTTCTCAAATTAACTCTCTTGTCCTTTGATCTTACATACATCCTCCCTTCAACGTGCTCAGTCGGATCTTTGTCAGGATCGTCCAATTCATTCTCGAATTCTCCTTCGAAATCAGAAGAGGAATCTTCAGGGTCTGCTTCATCTGTATCGAAGTCTTTAGAAAGCTGATCATGATGACTATATTCTAATTTTGCTTCTATCAACCTCCACATGAAATTCATGCTGTCCTTTAGCATTGCATTGCGTCTGTTCTCTTCGCTTCCGTTAAAGAAAGTGTCTTCGAGTTTTGTTGCATTCACATATGCACTTTTTTTTGTAGCAGTGTTCCGACGAGGAGTTTTTTGTGTATTAACAATCTCGATAGCCTGAGGGATTGTTTATGAGGAATACATTCTGTCAGTTCTTGGAAATCTGAAGTTCAGCAAATAAATGTGAGCCATACCTGTTGTAGAACCCACTCTTGCCAGTCATGTCTAGCTTCCGCGGTATTTTCGTCATCTACTAATTGTTTGATCGAGTCAAGTAGTCCTCGTGTCGATTTCCACCCAGTTGGTGAGATCCATTGTTTTCTTCGTATGATGATCGACCCTTCCTTTGAAGCCATGAAGTTCTGAAAGAACTGCTTGGCTGATAGGCCATGGTCTTCTCTCAATCTTACGCAGAGACCTTCGAGTACAGACGTTTTTTTTGACTCTGTTCGTCCAGTTGTGCGATTAGGCTCTTCTTCGATCACCATTCTCAAGACCACGCAACATCAATTCTTTCAACGACAAAAGTAATAGATTTCGAAATGTTGATTGATAACAAAAAGTATGTTAGGAAGATGAGGACTGATCTACTCGTCTCAAAACAAACAACAAGAGGCAAGTGATCATGTTTGATCGATTTCATTGATTGCATTACTGATATCTCGTCTCTGAAGACCCTTTATATCTTTTTCGCTCTCTGATCTGATGTACACCCGATGATCACATAAGCCACCGATAGCTACCGCTAGCTACCAACGTCGATTTGCGAAGATCAAAAGCAAATTGTTCATCCCTTAGTATAAAATCTCTTCAGGCTTTCTGAGGTTGTACATAACGATCTTAGGGTTTGAAATTTCAAATCTAGAAATATGCAGCTTCAATGAATCAACACGATCATGAGCTCTGTCGAGATTCTGAAGAGGCCATTTCCTTCAGAACTCGATAGAGCTCATCTGATTGATTTTTTGAAGAAATCACATTTGTGGCTCGTGGTGTAAATGCAAAGTGAAAAAACGCCCACCAAAAGGTGGCTATTAGTCACGCCACGATTGACGTTTAATACGCAAGCCCCCTGTGCCAGGGGCGGACGAGTCCGAGAAAAAATCACCTGGCACAGTGGGCTTGTTGTTAAGCTAGGCAAAATCGCGCCGCCATCACGACGCGAACTCCTGCTTTAGACGCTCGCCAGGTGGTTTGCCTCTTGCACGAGGGACGACATGCTAGAAATGTCCATGTATAAGTAACGTCATGTGAGTAATATGATCAAAGGGGAAGATTTCCAATTAATCACAGGTCCGGGCAAAGGCCTCGAACTATCACATGGTAGAACGAAGGAGCTCACTCATACGAGTGGTATAGCCCGGACGCAACACTCTTCCCCCTCTCTTCAATCTTATACGAATTATCATCCTCTCAGTAGAATACGCTATCAATTCTACTTATCCATTTAATTTGTTTACACTAACTATTATTATTATTGTTTACACTAATTTCAGCTCCGACCCACCCACCCTGGAACAATAAATGACTCATGGTAAGTACGTTATACAATTTTCAGACGCTGAAATATACGCAGGAGAGTACTCTAAATAGTGAGTACTCTCCGAGGTATGTCTCTAGCGTTCCTCTGAAGTGATAAGGCCCCTAGGAGAGCAGTCCACGGAAAGGTGAACTCTCTACCTAGCCGCGCCAAAACTCCCGCTGTACATAACTTTACCTCACCTAGGAAAAATCCTAGGCAAGGTAAAGATCTAACCTTTGTAGTAAAACAATAATAAGATGTTATCCAAGTTAAATGGAAATCCTCATGCTCGCCGCCTCGGCTCGAGTCGCTCTGAGAGAGCCTGACAGGCTGATCACATCGATAGCGCCATATTCAACCTTTGATAAGATTTCATTTTGCCTAGATCGATACTTCCTCATTAAATTAATCATTTTGTTGTGGAAATCAAATACAAATATTAGGAAGTGCTTTGGAAATCATTTCTTCATCTATCCTTCCTACACTTTTTAGCATGATTGTGTTTTCACAACCAAGTTTAGCGTATATATTGCGGTGGACCTCACGCGTTTCATCAGGACGGCCACTTGTAATCAGTCTGTTCATGAATGTCGCGTGGATCGCTATTGATACTTTCGGCGACGTGAACTTCACGCATTCATGGCTCCGTGCTGTCTTCAACCTTATTCAGCACCTATCAGGATATGAATGAAAATCATAAAAAAAAAAAAAAAAAAAAAAAAAAAAAAAACAGGCCTCGAGCATGTATATACATCAGACAAAACCTCGAGGCCCAACTCAACCCTATCCATTCATCATCTCGTGACCTCGCCGCGTGCGTGATCACACTTGAAGATTTCACATTTCTTATAGCCAACGTGTACAACCAACCAACAACCTTCCTGGGTTTCGAAGCGCTAGAAACAATGCTGAAATTCATCCCCCCTGAACTACAACGTCTACCAATGATTTGTACTACTGATTCAAACCTCCATTCCCCGCTCTGGAACCCAAGCCACAGCACAGCCAATGACAAGGATGCAGAACGCCTGATCGACCTGATGCTAGAGTGGGGTCTAAACCTCCGCTCCCCAAAAGGAAGATCCACCTTTGGCTTAGGCTCTGCAACCACGGAAGGCACCGCCATCGACCTTGTATGGGTCAATAACGACTTTGATGACACATTGGTCACTTGTTTCATAGACGACGACGACCTTACCAACCATAACTCCGACCATCAATCACTCATCACGATCTTTAACATCAAACAACACGACCCCCCACCACACCAGACTGGCTCAACAGAGCGCAAGAACTGGAACAAGGTGTGCCATGTTTCATTACGAACCGAGATCACCCAAAACCTCCCAAAGCTACGTCCTCTGCTCTCCAGAGAGGACATAGAATCCTTTGACAAAGAATTGAGGGACGTGGTACGCGAGGCCCTCGACAAACACTCACCACGAAAAGCCCAACCCGGAAAACACAAGGAATGGTGGCGACCTGAAGTCCTCGAGCCTTTACGAAAAGAAGCCAATCGACTACGCCGATTACTGAAGAAGCACCGAACCGACGACGCATGAGCAGCCTACAAGAAAGCACGCAACACATTCAACAGAGCAATTGACCACGCAAAAGAGAGCTCCTGGAGGACCTACCTTTCAAACTTGGATCACCAAACGCTTTTCCAAGCTAAGAAGGCAGCATCAGGAAGAAAACCCTCTTCACTCGTAAGTACCATCATCACTAACGAAGGCAAAGCGTGCACTACAAACGCAGAGAAGGCCTCAGCCCTCTTTGAAGCGACGTGCATAGCCACTGCTCCATGCCAGCTAGACGACACGACTCCCATCACATTCCCGGTGAATAACGACCAACGTCCAACAAACAAAGCCACCCCCAAACTTTACGCATCAGTCACAATTGAAGCAGTCAGCTCAATCGTGAACGACAGCCCCCCGATGAAAGCACCTGGACCTGACAAACTCCAGAATTGGATCTGGAAGATGATATGGGACCAAGTCAAGCGTCACGTAACAATTCTATTCAAATGCATAACACTGACAGGTTTCATCCCAAGAGCTTGGAAGACAGCCGTGACGGTGATGATTCCAAAGCCAGGAAAAGCTGATTACACGCAGGCATCAGCATACCGACCAATCGCCCTCCTAACGACCCTAGGAAAATTCTACGAAAAACTGCTTACGCTACATCTCTCAGCTCAAGCTGAACACCACAACCTCCTACACACAGGCCACTACGGGGGCAGACCAAACAGGTCTAGCCAGGCCGAGGCCCTCGTCCACCTCGTATCATGGATCAAACGGGAATGGGCTCAGGGCAAGGTAGTGGGAGGTCTCTTCGCGGATGTGAAGTCGGCCTTCCCGTCTGTTCACCACCCCCGCCTCATGGACACATTGGAAAAGAAGGGCATTCATTCACAGACCCTAAATCTCATTCACGATTTTCTGCAAGACAGAAAAACGACACTCACCTTCAACGGCTTCAAATCACAACAATTCGACCTTAATCACGGCCTACCTCAAGGATCTCCCCTGTCCCCACTCCTCTATCTCCTCTACAATTCATCATTACTCGCAATCACTGACAATATCACCTCAGCATCTGCCCTAGGTTTTGTTGACAATGTAGTCTTACTCTCCACCGCACCGGATACTCATCAACTGAGATCACAAATGCAGACTCTGTCGTTTCGTCAACAACACTGGGCACGACGACACGGCGCAATTTTCGACACCAAGAAAACTTTCTGGGTCCTATTCTCCCAGCAGGATACCAATTCGGATAACGCACCCACCATCGACTTCGCAGATAGGAAGAAGATCCCACCGGCCTCAGCAGCTAAGTGGCTGGGAGTACTGGTAGATAAGGGCCTGACCTTTAGACAACACAAACTCAACGTGATTGCCAAAGGACACCAGAGAGCTGGGTTTTTGGCAGGCTTGTCGAAAACCGGGTGGGGCATCCCACCCAAGCTACTCAAGACACTGATGACTACAACTCTCCACGCAGCCACCGACTACGGTGTGATGGCCTGGCTATCCACCGAACCCCCCGTTTTCTTTATCGAACAGATGACAACGGTCGACCTGACGTGCGCAAGGGCAGCCTTAGGCGCGTTACGAACCACCCCGTCAACATTTCTCTTCCACGACTTGTACCTCACACCGCCAAAAGCAAGACTCCAAAGTAGGATACTTAACTTTATGGCACAATCACTCACCAAGCCTCAGTCACATCCACTATTCCAAATTATACAACGAGCTCAACTCTCATCAGCAAAATACCACAAGGATCCCTTCGACATATTCTTTCAACATCCTCTTTGCAAGAGATTCGCCGAACACGTCATCCAACTCCCGGTGGACCCAGCATCCATGCTAATCAAGCCTCACAATTATTCCACACTAATTCAACCGGATGAGGAGATCGCTAAAGCTAACGCAATACGACTTCTTCCATCAAACAGTCACATCTTAGTCTTCACCGATGGATCGAGAATCCCCAAGAAAAACACGGCCGCGGCGGCCTGGTGTGCAAACACCAGAAAATCGAAAGCCCTCGCTTTAGGACCAGCAAGATCACACGGAATCTACCAGGCAGAATATCGTGGGGTACAGTTAGGACTCGAAATCATCCTCGAGACAGCAAAGACCCACACTCGACGAGCAACGATTATCCTTGACAACCAAGGTGTAGTCAAAGATTTAAAATCTGATTCATCCTCCATATCTTCCCTCGATAATAGAAAGAAAACATTTGATCTATTACACAACCTCTACCACAGCTACCCAACGCTCAAGATCAACATACGCTGGTGTCCAGGCCACGCAGGGATCCCAGGAAACGAAACGGTCGACAAAATAGCCAACACACTCGCAAAGCGCGATTTACCAAGCACGTTCACGAACACACCTAACACTGCTGCATTCATCTCCGCCATAAAGGAGTGGAAAACAACACAAACTGAAACCTTCAGCCATGAAGATATCACTCGACTGGGTCACAAACCTCACCCGAAAAAACACTTGAAGAGCATATCATGCCTTTCAAAACATGAAATCTCTACCATAACCCAGCTACGTTCTGGCCATGCACCCCTAAATACTTACTTAAATCGTTTCAGACAACCTGTTGACCCGACGTGTGATTGTCAGGAAGGACTCGAAACGATCGAACATTTCTTATTCATTTGTCACAGATATGAACAACAACGCGCAAAGCTGGAACAGACAGCACTCGAACTCGGGGTCAAGATGAACAAGTCCATCTTATCAAACACCAAAGCCTTCAAAGCAATAGCAACGTTTTGCAACTCCACATGGAGATTCCGACACAGATGGGTCTGGGCTACCGTCATAGACGAGCCCCATCCTGTGGACAAACCCCTACCCCCTGAATGATCCTTATTCTTCTACACCATGACTTCATCGCCTATAACCACATGTATTACAGTTTTGTACAAGCACACTAAACAGCCACTAGTTACCTTTTTCCTGAACAGCCACAGGGTTTTTAACGGTACTAGAAATAAGTGCAGAAGTGTTCGATAGTCTTAGGACTGAATGAACACTTAAAACCATGAAAAAAAAAAAAAAAAATGGCTCCGTGCTGTCTTCAACCTTATTCATCACCTATCAGGATATGAATGCATTATACTGAGTATGAAAATCATAAAAAATCAAAGTTGTTCGAAGAATATCATCCTCCTGCTCGCATTCCTGATTATAAACTTTGATCCACAGTGTGTTACCGACTGTGCGGAGCCAGTGGGTCGGGCTTAGAGCTGGACTGGATTTCTTTAAATTCTGATGATCAGAATGTCACATCAAAGTCACTTGAAGGTTGTTGTAATATCATAAGAGAAGTCTTGGCTATCGGCTCGCGTGAAAACAGAGAAGACTAGTGAGTTTCTGGTGATCTGGTGATCTGGTGATCTTTTAGATGGATTTCTTCATCAAATCTAGAATCTCATCTTCATCTTCAAGTCAATTACAGCTTGTTTACCATCATAGTAGTACCAGACATGGTTCCGACCAATCAGCAAGTTCACATTTCGAATAAAATCTTCCCTCACCTTAAAGAACAACTGTCTTTCGAATTTCAAGTCTTTTCTGTTCACCAATCATATATTCTGAAATTTCTTCAGCCAAAAATTGTAAAGACCATCTACCAACATTTTTACAACCCATATCAAAAATATTGTAAATTCCACATCATGAAGCTCAATCAATCTCAATTTGGTTATCCTTTAGAATTCATTTGGTCTGCTTATAGTAAATTATTTAATTCTTCATTTAATTTCATACAAACCTTTATACTTCTTACAGTTTTACAAATTGCCGATTTTTATATCGCTACCTTTAATTTCTTTTCACCTTCAGTTCATCTTCAACATAATGTTCCTTTACCCTTCTCACCAAACCATCCACCTCCATTATTTTATAATCCTTTTCTTTATTCGATTTGTTTATTGGCTAGAGTCTTAGGACCTGATCGGTCTCCTGAATGGTTAAAAGCTTGGTCGGTTTGGAATGGGGTCGAACAGAATGGGACTTGGAGAGATGTTAATGCTCATGAAGCTAAACATGGTTCACGAAGCCCTTGTCCAGGTCTCAATGCCTTGGCAAATCACGGTTAGCTTTCTATCTATTAGATTCTAGAGCTTTTTGCATATTGACATCCAGCTGACCATTCTTGATGGGACGCGATCAGGTATCATCAACGCTTCAGGCCGTGATCTATCTTTCCATCAACTAGCTGCTGCTCTCTCCCGCACCTACAATATCTCGCCCACCTTTTCCGTACGAGCTTTGTTAGGTGCCACCACCCTTTGGGAAGGACGTAAAACTATCAATTTGTCCGATCTATGTGCTCACGGACTCATTGAACACGACGGAAGTCTATTGAGTTGAGTTTCATAAATCTCATTCTACCTATGTGGAAGTGTTCAGGAGATTCATCATCTACTCATTCTTTGAAACACAAACGTAGGACCAGATGTTAACTCTGGTGATAACAAGAAGGCCAATCAATCTCATCCTTACCCAGATCTCATCGAGAAATTCTTCCCAGCTGGAAACATTCCAGTGAAGCCTAGAGACCTTTCAAGAGCACTTACCATCCGTCGAATGGAATGTGCAGCCAAGAATCCAGCTTACTATCGATCGTTTAAATTCGATTTGATCGGAAGTGAGAATTGTGCCATCTTACTTGCTGTGACGGGTGGGAATCGAGATGTGATCAGAAAGTTTGCCGGGATAGATGGGATCGAAAGATTTGATGCTTATTGGAGACCTGCTACTCGTCAAGCTTTTGGACTTACTATGGTGGATGCTCAATTCTTGTTAGGTTGGATTGAGTTGGGCACTGGATCGAGTATTAAGCCTAAGATCAGGCAGATCTGAATGTACAATTTACCTTGTTTATTTCTTATCATAGGCTCTAGGATCTAATACGTTGATTCATGTTAGATCTTTGGTCAGCAACAAGCTCAGATATTTCTGGTACAGTTTCATTACAGAAAAGTATATTTTATTATGTTTTATAGCTTTTATGGTCGAGAGAAAATAAAGACAACCTCTTTTATCTAAACACTCGAGTTAAGAAGTTAAGAAGAACCCTTTGAAGGTCTTCCTGTGCCTCTCGACGCTCGTCATACCCGCTTGTTTGTCCAGGTAAACTTTGGAGGCAGTCTGAACTTTCATCAGTATCATTCCCACTTCAGATGTTGAGAGTGATTCAGAATCATAGGCCTACAGGATATGAAGAGGTATGATGTCACAATCAGGCTGAGGGCGCGTCTGAAAAAACGCGCCAAGAGGTGCGCGCAAAGAACTCGAAAAGCAGGTAGGCGCACCCGGAACTGCTAATCTACATATAGTGGGTGCAACTGGTTACTTGGTTCAGGTTGTGGTTAGTATCATACAAACTCTCACTATTATCTTATTGAAAATGCCCAAGGTCAAGCATGCCTCAATCACGCTGACCAACCTTGAGATGATCAGTCAGGTGCAGCTTGCTGAACAAAACGAAACAAGTTTATTAAGAACAGCCCATCAACTTCAAAGGATGAAGCCAAGGTGATTCAAATTGAAAATCCTGAAATTTGAATGATCAAAGGTTTGTTGGGTCCGGGCAAGTATGAGGAATTTGAAGAAGGTTTGGCCTCTTGCTTGGTGGATCATTAAGCCTTTGTTACTCATTTATAAGAAGAAGCTTTCTACAATGACTTTATGAAGTCCATGAATGATCCAAAGTTTTTCCAACCTTCAAACTTTCAACAAGTAATGTCTAATGGTGCTATTGCACCTGGAGCTTGGAATCCGGACATTATGAGCTTTGATCAGACTGATTGTGATTTATCTTCAAGCTCACACCTAATGAGGTATCTAATCATACTTTAAAACCCAGCCTTTACAAAAAGGTATAGATAAGTCTTGAAAAGAAATAAAAACCAGTTTTTCCTCGTTTGTGAGAAAAAGAAACTCGATAAAACCAATAGTATGAGTTTTGCACAGGAGAGAACTTTTGAGAAGATAAATCAACCTTTCTTGGAACAGCTGTACCGTGTTGAATGTTCTTGAACTTGGTGAATGCAAAGCTTTCCCAGTAGTAAGTCTTATCAGCCAGGTGACAAATAGAAGGCACTTGAGCACAAGTGAGAGCTTTTTTTTCGTATAAAGTGCGATCAGCGAAATTGCTCAATTGCATGTCCTGGTACCGGTCTCTGAGCTGAGCCGGGCTGACCAGCATACACGTTGCCTGTGACTGTATCTTGCAGCTCAAGCCGATTGTGCCGAAATTTACAACCACATCGAAATTCCAACTTCATTTCCAGATGATACCGCCTCGCTTGGCCTCATACCTTCAGCAACTCATCACCCAAAAGGTTCGCCATTTCTTTTGAAGTTGTTTTCATTTGAATTGTCACTGATATTGAGATACTTTTGGATACGGTTTAGTTACTGGAATCATCGACCTTTCATGAATTAGTTCATAAGACTGATACGTTCGCTCGATCCATTAGACAAGCTGCAATTGATGTTGTTCGAGATAATGAGCGTAGTCCGGAAGCCAATGAATTTAAACCTGAACAACCTTCGCCTGCAAAATCATCACGACCTTCTCCACAATCGTCAACGACTTGGAAATCAACTACGTCAAGATCTTCACAGACAAGTAAAACTGACAGTATGTTATCTTGAGCTCTTGAAAATTCATTTCGTTTAGTGATTCGATTGATTGATTTTCGTTTATCCATTCAGCTTCTGCCCGAAAGGAATCTAATAGGAACCCTGAAATTGATGCCCGTCTAGAAACTGACCGAAAGTTTAAAGAGATGCTACAAAAACTGAGAGATCAAAAGTCATCCGATCCATGAACCCTGAAAGAATTCTTTGAGATCCACTTACTGGAAATACGCTCAACAGTCTTGGCCAAAGGTTGGGATTTTCTCTGTTTGTCCCCCCCTCTTAGATTTTTCTTGCTGGGGTAGCACACTGACACTACTCGTTGGCATAGGGATGACTAATTATCATTTAAACACACTTCAGCATTCGAATGACCGGATGACTGACAATGAAACTCGTTACTCCGGCAATGATGTACAGAATCCACATTTTTTGCATATCCTTTCACACAATGTATATCACATATTGCAAACGTCAACAAGAACTTCATTTTCATTAGCTTCAATTACAAGAATTTCTTTAATAAGCCTTTCCTTTTTACATGTACATTATGATATGTTCTCACATGGCACGTCTCATCATCAATAACCAAGTATCCCTCTTGAAATGGACGAGAACTTGTTTGTTGATAATAAGTCGTGGCACATTGGAACATATTACAACATACAAGTAGAAACATCCAATTTCACAAAGGATTTCTTTTGGATGAATGATCAAATGCAATATATACGCACTTCAAAGCTGACTGTGTTCCAACACCACAGTAGAATGAGTGACTTGACATTGTGTAAGGAGTATGTGTAGACGTAGCAGTCATGGGAATTGTGTCATGGGGTTAGACAGGGCTCATATTATGTTTCTTCTCAACGCCCGGCTTCGGAGAGTCCTCACTACTCAGAGAGCCAATTGTGGGACTTTCTGGAGCTAGGTGAGTTTCTCTTCATTTTGATTGTTTCTTTCTTTCTTTGGTTTCTTTTACTTTGTATGGTGTCGCTGACTACTCAGAGAGCCAATTGTGGGACTTTCTGGAGCTAGATCGTAATTTTATATAACGAAGTTCCAAGTTACATTGTCCGTAGTGCTCTCTCGAGGAGTCGTGCCGGAAACTTATCCGGACTCCAGTGAAGGTTCTCATAGAACCTTACACTTTTTTTAACTTGATCACTTCGAAGTTAAAGTTACAACGTCAAGATTTTTTTTACATTTTCAAACCTTATTCAATCTGCTCTATCTGCATTATCCTTTGGGATATTCTGTCAAACTGTTTTAGTGTTTCATCTGTCACCTTCTGTCTCAAGATTTTCTGCTCTGCCAACTTCTGTCGCATCTGCCCTACATTCGATACAATCGGAACCGCCTTCAGCCCTGACTCGGATGTCTGAACCTTTATCTCGGAAACCACACAACTATTTAGACGATCCCGACAGTTTGTTACGCCAAGCCAGGAAAGAAAAAGCCAAAGTTGTCCTTTCAGAAGACGCTGAAAGTCCACCAGCAGGACGACCTCCCAATTTTTCGTGGCGACCGGAAGCTGTTGCATCAGGATCACCGGCTGCGTTAACAGATCGCATAGTATACGCTTCATCCTTTATTCAGAAGAGCTCAGATCAACCACGAAAACTAGAATTCTCGCCAATCGAACTATCTCCATCGGCACCCGAAAAGACTATCATCGACAGTCATTTCAAGAAGTTATTTCAACAGGTGCAAACACCACATCCACCTGGGTACCTTCCACAAGAGCCTACATCGGAAAGACAAGCAGCTACCGTCACAACAGGCATCGCTCTAACATCTGATCCGACCAACACCATGTCACGAGAAGAGGACTCTGAGATCATCCAAACTCTCCGAGCACAGGTCGAGAAACTGGAGCTGCGAACTGCTGAACTGGACCAGTCACGACGTGAGACTGCGGAGCTACAGAAGATGGTTCGAGAACTTCTGGCATCACAATCTCGAGCCCAGTCTCCTAGAGACCCTGTCGGAGCGACAGAGGTTAACCCCTTGGTAGAGGATCAACCGAACCGTCCAAATACGTTTGGGCGCTATATCCATGAGACTCCGACGTCTCCAAGTCCTCTCCCTAGAAATCAACAACCGGAACAACCGATCAAGACTCAGCAATCGACATCCAATGACAACCAAGCTCATCAGGCTGCCTCGAGTTACTTACCACACCAACGAGTGAGCTGGGCAGAGGACGTTCCTGATTCGCAAGCGACGACTCAACCTCCTCCTATTCAGTCTACACCTGCAATTTTCAATTCCAGACCGACTTACCCTTCACCATTGACGACGGGTTATTCATCAGCTTTACCTGCTCATCACGTGTTGCAAGAACGCACTTTGGATGGTTATTCAGCAGTCATACCAAACAACGGGGTATCTAACACTACCAGGGCGGATCAAGTCAAACTTAGCGACTTACCAAAATTCAGCGGGAAATTCGGCAAACCTGCTGACCTTTTTCATTGGCGAAGCCTTATCGAGGAGACCTTTGAGATCAAGAACGTGGTGGATGATCGGGAGAAGCTGAAACTGTTGGGGTCCTTATTGAACAATGAGGAGATGTCGGCTTGGTATCAATCAAATAAGGAGGAATTGAAAGGTCAAAGCTGGGAAGGCGCTATGCAAATGATGGCTGTAGGAACCTTACCGTACGCGTGGTTATCGGACACTGAAAACGCCTTACGACGACTCGAAATTAAACCTGGGGAAACTTTTGCCCTTTACGTCTCTCGAGCTCAAGCCTTGCACCGATTGATCAAACCCTTTGGCCAGATCACTGACCGCCACCTCGCTCAACACATTACCTGGGGAGCGCCTCAACTCGTCAAAGATATGATCGAGAGGGAGGGACACTTACACGTAACTCCTTTCCTATTCTCCAAATTCAAAGACACAGCGGACGGTATTGTTCGTCTTCTTATCAACAGCCACCTATTGCCTGATCCATCAACCAGAGCAAAGACGACTCAAACCACTGTCGGTCATACCACTACCCAATCAAATTCGGTACGAGCTGCTCCTGTTGTCAGACAACGATCAGAAGAGGAGCGAGCAGATAATGCCTGGAGATATCACGAGTACCTTCGACGCAACGGAATCTGCTCAATCTGTAAGGCGAAGTGCAACGACGCGAACTGCGCGAATAAAAACATGCGTTTCATCTCAGTACCAGCCGATTTTAATCCAGGACCTCGACCTCGACGTGCAGCTTTACCGACAAACGCACCTGCACCTGCTGGAGCACCTACTCAACGACCAGCAGGAAGACCACCAGCGACAACAACGTCTACTCGAGTGGCAGCGATTGAAAACTTTCCTGACATGTTATCTGAAGATATTGCGGCTTATGAGGAAGCGGATTTATTTCAATCAACTCAGATAGAAGAACATGAAGAGGGAGAAGAAGGGTGCGTACCATCCAAGTCTGTTGCTCCAATTATCTTAGAGCTAACGTGCAATGGGAAAACGGTGCGGGCTCTTATTGATTCAGGAGCAGGCACGAATCTTCTCTCGGACCGTATGGCAAGTGAATTGCGGATTCCTCGACGGCCATTGGTTTCGCCGGTAGAGGTACGCCTTGCCATCCCTACAGAAGGGAGTCCTCTAGTCTTACGAGAGTTTGCTATGGCTAACTTGAAATGCGAAAACCCTAGTATACGCTTTGGAGCAGTATTTTTCAAGCTTTCACCTCTAAGCTCTTCGTACGACATGATCCTCGGTTCGCCATTTTTATCAAAATTTAAATTAGATGTTTCCCTTCATCGACGTTGTGTAATACACTCTCCGAGTGGCAAGACCTTATATGAAAAAGAAATGCAAGCTGAACTGAATCGTGTGTTATGTGCTATACAAAATCTGGATAAGATTTGTAAGGTACAAGACCTGAGTGATCGTGAATCGCGAATTTTTAAAGAATTTGAGGACCTTTTCCCGGCAGAACTTCCTCCAGTGGAGGAAGGTGAAGCACCGGATGAAACATTCCCGGAGAGCTTGCCGGATGTGAATAGACAAGTTAGGCATAAAATCATTCTCACGGACCCGAATGTTGTCATCAATGAGAAGCAATTTGGTTACCCTCGACGACACTTGGATTCTTGGAATAAATTGATCCAGCAGCACTTAGCCGCCGGCCGTATTCGGCGATCAACAAGCCAATATGCCTCCCCGTCTATGATAATTCCAAAGAAGGACCCATCAGAATTACCTCGTTGGGTTTGTGACTACCGCACTTTGAACAAATATACCGTCAAAGATCGGGCTCCCCTGCCTAATGTAGATGAGTCAGTTCGTTTAGTTGCAACCGGAAAAGTTTGGTCTATTGTCGATCAAGTCAATTCTTTCTTCCAAGATCGCATGCGCGAAGAAGATATACCGCTGACGGCGGTGAAAACACCTTGGGGACTAGTTGAATGGGTTGTGATGCCAATGGGGCTAACCAATGGTCCAGCTACGCATCAAGCCCGAAATGAAGAAATCTTAGGAGAACTGGTGGGAAAGATCTGTGTTGTATATATAGATGACATTGTTATATTTTCAGACACTGTGGAGGAGCACGAAGAGCACTTGAAGCAAGTCTTAGAACGGCTTCGAAAAGCCAAATTATATTGCTCACCGAAGAAGAGTAAGCTATTCAGGCGAGAAATTAAATTTCTGGGACATCAGATTAGTGAAGCAGGTATATGTCCAGATGACGAGAAGATTGAAAAAATTTCGAAATGGGCATCACCAACTAATTCAAAACAGTTGTTGAAGTTCTTAGGTACAGTTCAGTGGATGAAAAAATTCATCGATGGATTGGCGCATTATGTAGCAACCTTATCACCATTGACAAGCACATCACTGAAAGGGAAACCTTTCCAATGGGGGGAAAAGGAAGAGACCGCATTCAACAATATCAAAAGACTGATCACAACGTTACCTGTCCTGCGCAATCTCGACTATGACTCTAATGAGCCACTTTGGCTTTTTACGGACGCTAGTGGTAATGGACTAGGAGCCGCTTTATTCCAAGGACTGCAATGGGAAACTTCTTCCCCCATTGCTTATGAAAGTCGAACCATGAACCCAGCAGAAAAGAACTATCCAGTTCATGAACAAGAACTTCTGGCAGTTGTCAATGCACTCAACAAATGGCGCTTACTACTTCTGGGGATGCGGGTGAATGTGATGTCAGATCACC